ATGGAAGCACGTCATTCTTATGCTGTCTTATGCACTTTGAGAAAGAATGTAATTAACATATACAAATTTGGAGCCATAAACATAAAGATACTATGGGTGACCACATTCTGATTAGCTTTAAAGCCCACACCAGAAGTCAGAACTCAGTCTTGATACTGTTAATGGGGCCAAAACCGTGGGGCTGGGTGGGCCCTAAGCCCTGGGGGAGGACCTTCTGCTGTTAGTTTGTTAAGTGGACGTATTAATACACTGCTCCTTGAGTTTTCATCTTTAATTCCAAAGATTAGTACATTTCTTAACCCTGACCAGGGAAGCTTCTTTTCACAATAGAGGGTGGTTAATACAGAGATGTACAACTCCTCAATCTGCAGAAAATAAGAAAATATAGAGTGCTCAACTCTACATGGGATCACTACATCATGGGACAGGTAGGAGGAAAGATCATAAGAGCCAGCGGCAGCGGGCGTCTGCAGCAAAATAGTGTTTACCGGACACGACAGTGAGTACCATTGCACACATGAACTCACAACAGACAGAATTGCAGGCTCAGGACCTGTACAAATACCAAGTCAGCCTAAACCCCTGTCCAGGTGAAGGAGTGGTTCAGGAAGTTCCACCACTAACTGAGGAGCTACTGACTGCTGATGGCTTCTAGGGGAAAGAGAGTCTTCCAGAATGCAGCCTTTAAGAGGTTACCCTTTGGCTTAGACACCGATGCACACCAAATGCAATTCAGTGAATTTTAAGAAAGAATGGCTTGAAGTTGGGGGAGAAATACCATTGGGGTTAGAGGAGAAATCGGAGGAGAAAAATGGAGATGGATTAGATCAAAATGTATTGTAGAATGTTTAAGTTCTCAAGACAATAGCTTGCTATGACTTAGATTTTAGTGCCAGTTATGGTCTAATTATGTAATTTACAGCATCCCTAGTACTATGTAAGAGTGCTGCTGCTTCATGAAGCGTGTTACATGTGTGAACCTGACCATGGGTTGTCCTAGAATTTGATAAACATTTCTGGGTGAGTCTATGGGTTTCGTTTCGAGTGAGATTAGTGTTTGAAATGGCAAATTGAATAAGCAGACTGCCTTACTGTTCCAGTCAGTTGAGCGGGCATCATCTAAGCCACCAAGGGCCTGACAGAACAAAGAGACTGAGAAAGGGAGTTGGCTTTCTTCCTGACCTCGTGGGCTGGGTCGTTAGTGCGCTTCTAGCTTTCAGGTCTTTGGACTCAGACTGGAACTCTACCGCCCGCTGTCCTGAACCTCTAGCTCCACAATGCAAGGCTCAGTTACTCACGTTTATGTCTTTGTGTGTTCTGGTTCTGTGGGGAACTTTAATACACCTGCTGTGCTCATCATCACTTGATAGTCTAAGACTTATTATCTGCTAGGTGTGAATTAATATCTCATTGGAGTTTAAATTTGTACTTACTTGATTACCATGCCATTATGAATATGCTTCTGTGTTTATTTTTTTTGTGTGTGTTATCTGGGAAATGTCTCTTTAAGACCTCAGATTTCAAGATGGGCAGTGGTAGCCCATGCCTTTGATCCAAGCACTAGGGAGGCAGAAACAGGTGGATCTCTGTGAGTTAGAGGCCAGCCTGGCCTACAGAGAGAGTTCCAGGACAGCCATGGCTACATAGAGAAACTCTGTCTCAAAAAGCAAAACAAGTAAGCAAGCAAACAAACAAACATAAAAGATCACAGATTTCTATTGGGACATTTATCTTTTTCTTGTTGATTCCACAGAAAGTTCTTGTTTTAGCTCCTAATTATAATTGCCTTGTGGTTATATATGATGAAAGATCTTATTCTTTATAATTAAAAAATATCTTTGCTTTGAATTTTGGGGGAGGTATTGGGAACTGAGCTCATGGCCTAAGGCATGGTAGGTAAGTATTCTGAATACTTACTATTCCAAGCCCTACTTTTTATATTTATTATAATAGTTAAACACCACTTTCTTTTATCTTTACCATTAAAAATCTTTCCCAACTTCAAATCATAAAGATATTCTTAAGTCTTAAAGTTATGAAATTTCATTTTTTTACATTTCAATTTTTAATATCCCTGGGATTGAGTTTGGTGATATTATGGGGAAGTAATCTCAATTAAATTTTAATCTCTATGGATCACCAAGCCCCAGCTTCATTTATTAAAAAAGCTACTGTTTTCATATATATTTTGCAATACTTTATATTTCAAGTATTTTGTAGTGATATAAGGGAAGTGAAATTGGAAAGAGGTACACCAACCACTGCCTGCCTCTTATGTTTTATGGCTATTCTTTAAAACATTTGCAATATCTACATATAGGTACAATAGTTGTGGAAAGTTATTTTTAACAAAGATATAACCATAATTTTCATGGTTATTAGCATAAATAATAGCTAATTCGTTTTAGAAGAAACTATTGAATAGCTAACACTAATTGGAAGGTACAAGAAATTGCTTTCTTAAGGCACTGTGTGTGTGTGTGTGTGTGTGTGTGTGTGTGTGTGCGCGTGCGTGCGCGCATAGAATCATGTGAAATCGGACAGCAGTTTTGGTTAGTGAGAGAATTCCATGGAAGAGTACAAACTTCAGATTTCAGAAGAGGTATTATATAAGAAATTTTTGATCTGTCTACTTTGAGAACCTGTGAATAGTTGGGGACTGAGGCACCTGAAACACTGGAGAAATGTATTGCCGTGAGATGGATTTATATGAGTCCTACAAACTCTGGGAACAAATACTCCCCTATTCTTAACTCAGTTTTATGTAGGAGTTGGTCCTGGAGGCAGAAGGGATGCAGGAAGGAGTTAAGATCAAGACACAAGATATTATGGTTAGCCGCGACAAACCTCCACGCATGTGAGGAGACCAGGAAAGAACTGCTAGGAGCTTTTACTTGATGAGGACGTCTTTTTAGTGTAGAGGAAGGGACAGTGAATCCATCTCCATCCTAGCTCAAGAAGTTGCACGCAAAGGAGACCTGCCTAACGGGAAGAATGGATAAATCGGACTTTGATTTGATTTGATTTTCTATCTCATTCAGTTGACTTGCCATGGAGTTTGAGCATAGGAAACAGGCATAATCCCCTATGATTGTGCTAGCGATGGCCCAAGGCTGGAACCATAGGCAATAAAACCGCAGGCATACCATGAAAGAGACTTTCTGAAGTCTTCCTTCTACTGAAGGCTACAGAAAACCTTTCCCAGAGTTAAACTGTGCTTAGGTACAAGAGAGGTCATACTTGTGTTAGTGAACAGGTTAATGTTCATAATTTAAAATGGTGATGAGCTGGAGGTTAGAACCCATCAGGGAGGCTTGGGATTTTTAACAGCTCTCCAGCCTTAAGAGAATTTCCCCGTGGACACAGGCGCGGTCGTTGGGTGTCTAGGGAGAGAAGATAACTCGGGGATGATGGCTGCCTACCGCCAACACGAGTCTCAGAGAACAGATTGAGGGAGCCAGGAAGAAAGACAGACGTGATCACGATGGAGCGAAGCCTGGGTGGGCAGTGGCAGGAGGAGTGGCGGACCCGGGGACCCCCGAGGGGGCGTGGCCATCCACTCTGGGCTTGCTCTGTCTAGAAAAGGAGCGCTGTCCCGCCAGTCTGTCTCCGGTGAGGAGCGCGGAACAGAGCCGCCAGCTCAGCGCAGAGTTCCACTCCCAACCCCTGCGATCCGGGGTCCTGCAGAACCGTCTCCACCTTCCTCCAGCTTCCTGGGGTGGGACGTCCCGAGCCTGAACTGACATCTCTGCTCCCGAGTCAGGAGCTTGCACGGACACGATCGGTTCCGCAGCCGGAGGCACATTCGGGTACCATCGTGCTGGGACGCGCCATGGACATTCACGGAAGGTACTCGGTTCCCCGGTTCCTGGGAAGGGTTACTCTTCTACGTCCCATCGATGGAAAGGGCGTTGGTCGGGAAATCAACCAATTGCTGGGGAGAGGGGAAAATCTTGGAACTCACTCCTCACACCCTTTTAGGATTGTCACCTGCAAAGTCAGCTCACTCTGCATGCAATCTGCACAATTACCGATAGTGTAAAACGACCTGAATATTGATTAAATTTTTCTTTCTTAAAAAGAAATTAGTTTCTTTTAATGAGGAAAGGAGAAAGGCAGTATGCAGAAAGGAGATGCCTTGGATTATGGGCTCCAGGTTCTTCACCGCATCTGCCTGAGATGGCTGTTGAGGAGGGAGTGTATAGGAGCATTGAGAGAACCCACAGTCTGGATGAAATATTGGCAATCTATTGACAAGTTAGTCCTCGATCTTTACCCATGTGTTCTAGGTCGATTTGCTGAGGAACCAACTGACAGGGAAACTTTGCAGAGAAGCCACTAGAACAATGCAGTATTTGCTGACCAGTAACTGACCCTGTACCATCTCACACTAGCTTGTGCCCACCTTATTTTCTGCTCATTTTATGGATGTATCTTCATCTCTAAGCTAGTCCCAAACAACTTAAGAAAAGTCAGGATCCACAAGACAGGAGGGCTCAACAGATATTTTTTAGTGGAAAACAAAACAAATAGGAATATTTGAGATATCCAATGCCATTAAGTAAGTAGATTTCTAATAATTCAATTAAAACTCAACAAAACCTCCCATAACCACATACAGAATGAGGTGCACTTCAGTCCTCCTGGACAGCGAGGCAGGAGAGCACATCACTGCAGAGTGTACTAATCTGTACAAGGGAGAGGGAATGCAAGTTTTTAAGGTTTTGTGCAGCTGTAAGGGTCTGCGAGGAAACACACATCACATCTATACAAGCACACACTGGATTTCAGGGACTCCCAAAGATTCTTGGTTATCAAGCCAGAATTCTAATACCTCTTCAAAGGAAGGTCTCAGAGTCATCAGCTCAGAGGAAAACCAACAAATACACATTCAACTATACCACTTTTTCTTTTCTTTTCTTTCTCCTCTCTCTCTCTCTCTCTCTCTCTCTCTCTCTCTCTCTCTCTTTCTTTCTAACTTCTCTTTTTCCTCATATAGGATGGGTTCTGCCGCAAGGAGATGGGTCTACCTTCCCCTGGGCTGCATCATGCTGTTCAATCTCACGAACGCTAACTTTGAGTTTCAAAAGGGAGTGCTTGCCAGCATCAGCGCGGGCATCACAGAAGATGTGGATCTTCAGTGCTGGAACGCATGCTCGCTGACACTCATAGACCTCAAGGAACTCAAGATAGAGCACAACGTGGATGCCTTCTGGAATTTCATGTTGTTCTTGCAAAAATCTCAGCGGCCTGGGCATTATAGTATCTTCTTAAACATAGCCCAAGACTTCTGGGACATGTATATAGACTGTTTGCTTTCAAGGTCTCACGGAATGGGCAGAAGACAGGTGGTATCTTCCAAATATAATTTTCTACAGAAAATGACAAAAGGTGATTTAAAGGTTTACCTTCGGAAGTAGCGAAGTGGCATTATTAAAAATTTGATATTTAGTACTTCTGATTATTTCAGGTTTATCTAGTTAGCAAATTTGTCTTGTTTATTTTCTTATAATAATTATAAAACTAGTTAAAAGAATAAGAAAATTATCATTTTCTAATTAAAATAAATATTTTTTACATTATCTGGAAATCATGAGAGTGCTTGATTATAAATGATCTTGGAATATAAATCTTGCTAGATCATTAAAATCATCTTATTGCCCCCCCATGAGTGGTTCATAAAAAAGTCGTATGGCTCTGTATTCATAGTGTAAGACTTAAATACCAGGCTTGTTGCAGTCTTTTGAACAAAACATTTTCAACTGGGTTGCACAGTAGAATGGACTCTTATATTAAGAAATATTAATTTCCCTCAATACTACAGAACTAGATTATAAAACATGTTTTACATTTAGGAAGGAAAACACAAAAAAATACCTCAAGCAAGATGCCAACTGAGAGCAGAATCCTGTCAGTACTTGCCAAATCAAATCTCCTGTTGTAATTAAAATTCTGATTTTCAGTTTCTTCATCTGGTGACTTTCTTTCTCTAGCTATATTATTATATAATATAATATAATATATAATATAATATATTATATAAATATATTATTTATTAATAGTTATTGGATTATTTGCATATATTTAAGTAATTTGTCAATAATGTTATTTAAAAAGCATTTTGTCAAGTTGCCTTTGTTTTGAAACTACTTCACCTGAAAATATAATTTTTAAAAACTAATCAGTGGAGTGAAGTTGTAATTAATTTTATAGTGTTGGGTACCCTAATATTGACTTTAAAACTTGCCCCAACTAATACCAGTATCTAAAAGTGATATTTAATATTGATATGTTGTTTGCTTTCTGAAATTACATTTCAATACCAATCCATCTTATATATTAAATATTTTCTATATATTAGGACTAAAACCTTTATGATACAGTTCTTTTTTAAGTGTATGGACATGTTTCCTCTGTGTGTGTGTGTGTGTGTGTGTGTGTGTGTGTGTGCACTATGCGTGTGCAGTGCCTGCAGAGGCTAGAAGAACACATTGGATCCCCTGGCATGGGGGTTACAGACAGTTGGGACTTACCATGTGGGTGCCAAGAATTGAACCCAAATCCTCTGGGAGAGCAGTCAGTGCTCTCAACCTCTGAGACATCTCTCCAGCCCTGTGGTATAATTCATACCATCACAACATTCAAAAAGGAACAACAAACAAAAATGAAGAAGCTACAATTTAGCAAAGCACACACAGCATGATGGACTTTTGCCTAGACATTATGTCAGTCACATTTCATGCTCACAGTCATTTTTATATTATTTGCAACTCACACCCAAATCCATCAGCAGTATGCAGCTTTAAAGGAATGTGCCAAACCCAAGAATGGCACACAGTGGATGAGGAAATTGCCGTGGCAAGGTATGGTTTCAGGAAACTACCAATAGACAAGTATGGTCTATAGTAATGACTTCATCCTATGCTTCACGTCAATACTTCTATAGTAATGACTTCATCTTATGCTTCAAGTCAATACTTCTATAGTAATGACTTCATCTTATGCTTCAAGTCAATACTTCTATAGTAATGACTTCATCCTGTGCTTCACGTCAATACTTCTATAGTAATGACTTCATCCTATGCTTCAAGTCAATACTTCTATAGTAATGACTTCATCTTATGCTTCACGTCAATACTTTGGAGACTTGAAAGGTGGCTCCAGTTGGTAAAGTGCTTGTGGCACAAACATAGGGCTAAGATTAGATACTCAGGCAGAGGAGCATGTCTGTTAGCCCAGTACTGGGAAAGAGACAGGAAGATCCCTGGCGCTTCCTGGACAACCAGCCTAATAGAATTGGTGAACGAGACTCAGAGAGAAGCCTGTTCTCAGGAAATGAGAGAGTAGTAGAGGAAGATACCTAATGCTACCCTCTGCCCACCCCACCGCTGCCCATCTCACCCCTGCCCACTCCCAGCCTATGTCTTTGACAAAAAGACCTGTAAACTTGGTGAGGTTTCTAAGTTCCAAAGTGAGAGGGCCTCAAAGCAGTTTGAAGATTTTCATATTTACAAGAAGAACAAAACAGATGTTTAGAAAATTTCCACACTTTTCCAGGACAAAGAACCAACAGAAATCGTCCTATAGATTTCCTGATTGGCTATTGTGGAAACATCATGAAAAACATTGTTTTCAAGTGTTTTGATGATTATGACATATCTTTCTCTGTGCAACATGATATAGGCACAAACAAACTAAATATAAGCAAACTTAAAAAAACAGCAAAAATAATACTGGATAAAAATGTAATTGTCTGATGGTTTAACTTGAATAAACCTTGAAATAAAGGGGGTATATTATCTGAGTTAGAACCAATCCCAAATTCTCATGAAGTACTACTAGGGCTTTAATAAGGGTTTTATATACATACACAAATTTAAGGAAGGTACACAAACATCAGGATAAGAACCTTCAATGTTAAAGAAGGAAAAAACCACCTGCAGTGGTACATGCCTCTAACCCCAGTATTTGCAGTTCAGTGGCAGAGGCAGGCAGACCTGTGCGGTGGAGGCCAGCCTGGTCTACAGAGCAAGGTCCAGGATAGCCAAGGCTACACAGAGAAATCTTGTCTTGAAATATAAAAGAAAAAGAATAAACAAACCTCTTTGCTTTTCAAATATGACTGGACAAGCTGCCTTAGTTAGGGTCTGTTTCTGTGAAGAGACATTATGACTAAGCCCATGGCACTCTTATAAAGGAAAACACTTAATTGGGACTGACTTACAATTTCCGAGGTTTCGTACATTATCAACAAGGCGGGGAATACGACAGACCGTCGGCAGGCGTGGTGCTGGAGAGGGTCTGAGAGTTCTAAATCTGGAGCTTCAGATTTAGTTTGAGCTTCTGAAACCTCAAAGCCCATCCCCCAGTGATGCATTTCCTCCAACAAGGCCACACCTATTCCAAAAAGGTCACAACTAATAGGGCAACTCCCTAGGAGTCTATTAGGGCCATTTTCTTTCAAACTACCACACAAGTATTATTTTATGTAACCGAGTATTACATATACTAGTTAGGTCGCAAGCAGAATGAGACTGTAGGTCCAATATATTTTTAAGTTGAGAATATTTTACCCGTTAAGGGAGGAGCCTTGGGCTCTGGAAATCAGCTGGTCTAGTGAGATGACTGAAATCCATTTTCTACAGGCAGGCTGAAAGGTGTCATGGCTTTCCTTGGAGTCAATATAATAGCTCTCATAATCTGCACACGAATAATGACAGTTTGATAGTACGGTGCCATAAAGCAAGACTGTGTAATTTGAGTCTAAAAATTGAACTGTTGTCATCAATCACCTATAGTAACTGTGAAAATTGTATTCAGTCAATAATAAACACTTCAATTTTAATAAAGTTAAAATAGATTACAAATGATCTCCTCATTCTCCTAAATTATATTCTGCTACAGTAGATTATTTAAAAATAATGTCATTGGGCTGGAGAGAGGATCAGTGGGCAAAGGTGCTCACCACCAAAGCTGGTGACCTGAGTTCCAACCCTCGGCTCCTCGTGGTGGAAGGGCAAACTGTCCTCTTGCCCCTATTTGCATGTGGCACACATGTAAGCACACAGAAATACATTTTAAAGAAATTTTAAAATAAGAACACTTCTAAAACACTGTTTTAGAACAACTCGTTGTAAGCAATTTTAATGATTTTAGAGATGTTAAAATTTCTCCCAGGAAATTCTCCTATCCTGCATTGGTTGGCCCTGGAAACCTGATGGGGAGATGTGGGAGTGACAGGCACACACACAGTGAAGTTCGGATCAGGTGGGATGGATTCCCTCTCTGCAGCCAGGAAGCTCATTTATTATGTACAGCAAAGCAAGAGGGGTCGGTGTGTCTCAGTGGGAGGTCTCTGTCCCTGAGCAGTCTCAGGCTGTAATCATCAAGAAGGAGGAAGCTGTGGCTGATGCTTTCTGTATACACTGTCAATATTTGTGTTTGCTCAGGGGAGCACTGCCATTTGCTGAGCCTGACCCAGGGAAGGGTTTGCCATTCCTGTAGGTCTGAATCTTTGTGATCCACGATGCTGTGCTAACATCAGCAACACACATTCACTCAGGACTGCAGCATCTGTTCCCCACAGTAAATGGAAAAAATCATGACCTCAGGCCTGGAGAGATGGCTCAGAAGTTAAGAGCATTGGCTGCTCTTCCAAAGGTCCTGAGTTCAATTCCCAGCAACCACATGGTGGCTCACAACCATCTATAATGAGATCTGGTGCCCTCTTCTGGCAGGCAGGCACACATGTAGGCAGCTTCTAACGTGTAGAGACACACATGCAGGCAGAACACTGTACACATAATAAAGAAATCTTTAAAAAAAAATCATATCCTCATCTGTATAGAAAACCTCACTCGTGTTTGTCCTTCATTCATTTGGCAAACACTCACTGAGGTAGAGGAAACACTGGTGAGAACCTGAGTCTTTGGTGCTCAGAGTTTTCATCACAGACAGACAGAAGGTGGAAAAACAGTGACATAATAAATAGCTCAAAGGAAGTGCTGTTCTGCTTTGTTGTTTTTATTTTATTATTATTATTTTTATTTTATGGTTTTTTTGAGACAGAGTTTCTCTGTGTAGTTTTGAAGCCTGTCCTGGAATTTGCTCTGTAGACCAAGCTGGCCTCAAACTTACAGAGTCCACCTACCTCTGCCTCCCAAATGCTGGTATTAAAGGAATGTGCCACCACCGCCCGGCAAAAGCAGTTCAGTGACATCAAAACGAAGCTAAAAGAATTCCAGAAATGGTATTGAGTAACAGGGGTATGGTTCTCTTTCTTTGTGCAGAGTTATCTGATGAAACCAGCTATTTTTTATTTTTAAGGTCAGCATTTTTATCATTTTACTACTGCAGACTCAAAATCTGTTTCATGGGTTTGGGTTTATGCACAGTTCATTTAACTTAATGCATAACTGATGAATTTCCAGAGACCTTAAGGGTACAAACCAGCTAATTCTGATTCCAAAACGCAAGTTTTATTTACTTGATTAGTACACGTTTCAGTTGGAAAGCTTGGAATTTCATCTTAGCTGACTCACGGGAGAAAATACTGTCCACCCCTCAGGCAGGGAAGCCTAGACAGCAAATCCACTAAGAATCGAGAGGAGCATGAACAGGATATAAAGAGAGCAAAGCAGAAATGTTTATGGTGCTATCAGAGAGGTGGACCCACTTGCTCACTGTACAGTGGCTGGAACTGTACCAGACAAACGCGTTAGAGATCTGCTTACCGTCTGTAAGGTCTCTGCAGCAAGCACTGCTTCCTGTCAGCACAATAAACACCATGTGGTACAAAGCTGCTAGAAAATAACCTGTCTTATTCTGTCGTCTCTCTTCCTAATGAGCAGAGCAGTGGTCAGGCTAAGTCAATCTGGAGACAGGACTACGTACTGTGTGCAAAACTGGTACTCAACTGAGTCACATCAATTTTTCTGTAACTTGTTTATGTTTATACCTTGGTACTTATGCCTTACAACTGGAGGAAAGCATTAAGAACCTCGAAGTATTTATATTCCAGCTGCTTTAACATGCTGTCCTTGCTCAGGATCACATGCATAGTATCCTGTGGGCTGATTCTTCTTTTTGAGGACAGTTCATTTGAAGACCTCAAGGGAAAGGCTGCAAGAGTCAAGGCCAACATCACTAACTCATTTCCTGAGGTGTTGATCATAATAATAAACTACACATGTTCTCTCCCTTGCCGTTAGGGAACTAAGAGTCTGAGGAAGTTCACAGTCTACAGATGCTGAGAAGGTTCATTGCACTTAGCTCTAGACATAAGGACTATGGTGTGCCAGAGAGAAAGGAGACGCGATTTGGTGCTGCTTGTCTGAACATCTCATGCTGCGTTCTTCTGTTTCCTCACACACTGCTTGTCACTTCCCCAGTAGGAAAATAGCACTAGAAATAGCTTCAGACTTTTACTTACTTAATTTAAAATTTTTGTGTATGTCTGTGTATGTGAGTGTCTGGTACCTGAGGGGAGCAGAAGAGGGATATGATCCTCTGGAACTGGAGTTATAGATGGTTGTGAACCACCATGTGGGCACTGGGAATTGAACCTGCGTCCTCTGGAAGAGCAGTCAGTGCTCTTAACCACTGAACCACCTCTCCAGCTCCACTTTGAAAATTTATATATTAACAGTAAAAGCACCTGTATCTGTATTTTTATTTTTGCTGTTTAGCGTGACTGACATTTGCATTTTATAGTAGATAACATTTATTTTCTATTTTCACCAACATATTTTTGTTGCTCCTGGTGTTCATGTATCTGTCTGATGATAGCACATTGATTCCTGACTCCATCTAGAAATTTTAGATGATTTTGGACTGTTTATGGCTCCAAGAACAAGGAGTTCTCAGATCTGGCCAACTTCAAGGTGAGGAGCTCCAGAGTTGTCATGTGACCAATCAAGGGTTCCAAGATGTGGAGAGCGCTGCACAAATTGTAGAGAAAATGCATCCACTCTTCTCCATAAGAAGAATGTAAGGAGGACTGCTGGAAGCAAACCTCTCCTGAGTCAGTGTCAGCCTTTGATCCAACAGCACCCACAGTCTATGTATCTCAGGAAGGACTTTGTAGCTACAAAGTTCACAAAAATGTCCTTTAGAGTAGACTATTTGAAGTCATTGATATATAGCCCAAAGTCCTAACTGATAAACAAACTTTACAATTTCAGTTAAGGGACCAACAGTTTTTCCAAAGATAGTGGTGAGCTCTTTTCTGATATATATGCTGATGTTTTTAATAAAAATAAACTGTATTACCCTGACTTTAATTTTATAATATTTTACTAAAATATTTATTGTAAATTTTTGCCTTACAATTGTATATAAATATACATTTAGCTGAAAAATGATAAGAAGAATTTATTTCAGAAAGGGTCTGGAGCGTGTCACATAGGGGCGTTCCTTTTCGGCTCACTCAGGGTCTTCACCTTCACCCGCTGCAAAGCTCCTCCCCGAATAGGCAGCTTTTTAAGAGCAATGTCTGTGTCAGCCAGAGGTCCTCCCAGTAACCGGGCAGGAGTGCTTTCCACTGTCACCACCCGACCTGAAGGGACCTGGAAGAGGAGAAGACAAATATCTAAATGCCCACTGACAAACATTTTTGGTAAGAGAAAAGCCACATATCCTATGGTTTGCTTTGAGATAAGGACTTTGGGGACAAGAAAGCGGGCTGGAATTATTCTGTCACTCATTAGTTTTGTGGCCAGGGACAAACTGAAATCACTAAGAAAGCTGGTATGCTCACAGGTCTACTGCCAGGCAAAGGAGAACTGTGCTCATCCTTCGAGAAAGATGCGACCAATGCATTGACCAGTGCTGGCAACAACTTCTTAGGAAAACCTGGGGAGCTGTGTCTGCTCTAACCTAGCACTGCAGAGTGGGGGGAAAGAAAGGGAAAAGTATTTTGGAGAGGCCTTAATGAAGGAAAATTTGAGCAACAAAAAGCAAAATATATGAGGCAAAAGTTCCCATAGAAGCAACATTTTGGCAGCCTAAATTAATATCTATTAAGAAAGAGATGTGGGGAAAAAATAACCTTACCGTTGTGTTAAGACCTTTAATAACTGTTTGGTGAAATATTGCATTTTGTGGCCGTTCACTGTATTTGGAGGATTCTATAGCCTTTTCCTGGAGCCTTTTTGCTTTCTGAAGATTTTTAAATTAGAAAGAAAACGGTATTAATTGCTAGTAAAACATGGTAGATGGTGCTTATAAAGAAGGTACACTTACTCTCCTATTCCCTCCCCATGCTCCTGCTTACAGAAATGGGATCCTTCAATAAGAAAGTTCACACTATGGAACAGGGCACTCTGTCCTCAAGACTGGCTAGTTGTTGTGTATACTGTAGTGCTTTAAAAATCCTACCTTTGCTGGGCGGTGGTGGCGCATGCCTTTAATCCCAGTACTTGGGAGGCAGAGGCAGGTGGATCTCTGAGTTCAAAGCCAGCCTGGTCTACAAGAGCTAGTTCCAGGACAGGCTCCAAAGCAAGAGAAACTTTGTCTCAAAAAAATAAAAACAAAACAAAACAAAAAAACAAAAACAGTAAAATAAAAATAAAATAAAAAATCCTACCTTTAATGTTTTAGCATTTGATGTTCTAGCCAGGAAGTTCTGCCATGATTTGTTAGCCAGTTCTCTTTGCTTATGTGTGGCCTGTATCTGGAAAAGACGAGAAAATCAGGAATTTCAATTTCTATGAAACATACCAGAAGGCCTGGAAGTCCCCATTTTAAAGGAAGTGCCTCCATTTTGCTAAATTTAAAAATTTGAGGCTGACTAAAAAAGTAACTATAAAATATAACTTAATTTTAAAAACAGAGTTGTTGGGAGATACAAGTCTTTAATTTGAGCTTGTATTGATTAAATGAAATTAAAATGAAAAAGGTAACTCACTCTCCACGCAATGTAAAGCAGACTGCTGAGACACGTGAACATTAAACATTCCCAGCAAGACTGAATGCTTTACACAGTTCCTGCTTGTGAAGACATTACAGTCTAGAGAAACCTGAACACGGGATTTAAAAAGAAAGTCATCGGTGAAAACAGAGAGGTTCTGCTGTCACTGATCCTAAGTTCAGACAAAATTAAGCTGTAAACTATTTTCATCGTGACTGTAAATATGTTGGCAGTTTTGTGAGACTGCTGGAGTGGTGTGATGTTGCGGTCCAGAGGGGAACTGCTAATCTTGATCTCTGTGTGTCTTAACACATTTGTGTCACCACCAAATGCATGATCAGAGGATGTGTGTATGTGCATCATAGACACAAGCATAATACCATGATAAATACAATATTCTTAGGGCTACTTAGGAACTGTTTAAAAGTGGGGACAGAGGTATGACAATAAAAATCCAGTCAAGACGACAAAGGTTCTGTAATTCAAAAGAACTAGTGGCCAAGAGGCAGCATAAGGTCCATCTTTTCTTCCCAGTTCTGAGCAGATCAACCGGCTTACAGTGATACTCATGTCATAAAAACTTTGCCCAGAGAATGGACACAGGTCCTAAGCTATAGAATCAAACACTCATTTGTCTAGGGATGACATTGTTTAAAAGCCTCTTAGATGGTCAAAGAAACTATGTTGCAGTTTCTCAGCTGTGCAAAGCTTTAGGGAAAGGCTGCTATTTTCCGGGTTCATTCTCTGTTTAGCTAAACCAGGCCAGTTTACACAGGCATGTACAGACTCAGTGCTCACAAGTGTTTCGGAACTGAGGTGAGGATGGAGCTGATGGATGGCTAAGTCTGTAGATGGCCAAACAGTAAAGGGCTGTGACAGAGTGAGGTGTGAAAGACAGGTTTACCTTCCTATGAAGTTATGAGCTCCATTATAGATAAACCGTCAGAATATATTAAAAGTATATATTTAAATTTTAAATTTTATGTACATTGGTATTTTGCCTGCATTCATGGCTGTCTGAGGGTGCTGGATCCTTTGGAACTGCAGTTACAGACAGTTGTTAGCTGCCACATGAGTACTGGGAGTTGAACCCAGGTCTTATGGAAGAGCAGTCGATGCTCTTAACCACTGAGTTATCTCTCTAGCCACCCAGTCCCCAGCAAAGCATATATTTAAGAAGGTTTCAACTTTTAGAACCATGTTGGACATGGCTAAGAAAGTGTGTCAAGATCTCTTTACTCTGTAAAATATATGAGTATGGAAATCAAATTACAGGGCTGGGGAGATAACTCAGCCAGCAAATTGCTTGTGTTCAAGCATACAGATCTGAGTTCGCATCTCCAGAATCCACATAAAAAGCCTGGCATGGTGGCCTATGCCTGTAATTCTACTGATCAGAGAAAGAGACAGAAAGCTCTCTGGGGCTTTCTGGCTGTCAGTCAAGTGGAGTGGGTGAGCTCCAGGCTCAGAGAGAAACCCTGTGGAGAATGGGTAAGAAAGATACTGAATGTCGCCCACCTCTGGCTTCCACATTTATGTATAATGTGGAAATAAGCATACACTGCAAATACACACAGAGAAAAGAAAACAGGAAATTAAATTATAATGCAAAACCAACACTGATAACAGTGATTGGATTTTTAAACTCTTAACTCCATAGTTTCCTTTAAAATTGCACAAAGACATTGAAAATAACTATTACAGAAAGGAAAACAATCCAATGCTCAAATATTAACAGATAAGATAAATCCATTTGATGGACAACCTCATCTACTTTGTGCACTGAAATGAACAGCCTGGGCCCCAGAGGCTCAGGGGCACAAGGGCGCCCTCAGCTTACCTTTGCGTATACTCTCTGCTCATTCTGCACGTCTTGGCGTGCCTGGCTCTCAATCATCTCACTCTGCAGGGAGGCGACCATCTTTCCAATATTTTCTGTTGCTGCTGTAATAGACTCCAAAGACAATTTATCTGAAGCAACTAGTTTTAATTTTTCCAATTTTATTTCTTCACATACTTCATTCCATATTTCTCCAATCTGTCACGGCAAAGTTTAACGTGAGAAATTTAAATTAACAAAAGTAAGGGAAACAATTTTACATAATTCCTTAGGTAGTGGTCATCTTATTAATGTTTAAGCTTTTCCTAACTTAGTTCTCGGGCATAAGTTAGATGTGCTGAGAATGGTATGGACACCAGCTCCATCTGAGAATTCTGGTTTACAGTTACTTCCTCTCACAGCTGCAGAAACTGCTTAGCCTTCTAAAGTATTGATAATATTGCTCCTTACAGTCATACCGAAGGCTAGGCCATGCTGAATCTGGGGGGACAGACGAGGGCACTCTGGGAGGGTGGGATGTGGGACTCCTAGAAGAGGGAGCCTGGTCTTCACCTACTAGTAAAGACATGTACTTGAATCTCGAGCTTTTACTCCAGTTTCACTATGCTAAATCTCCGTGTCACATTCTGAAAGTAAGGTACTAGAGCAGAGTATATTGAAAACTAGAGAAAGAGTTATATCATCTAAAACAGGAATACAACTGGATTTCGTTTTCATTTGAAGAAAGACTTCTTCATTCTCAACATCCAAATACATAATATTAACAGAAATAAAATGTTTTCCTCAGATTTTCCTGAGACTTCAGATACATTTATTTACTCAGTTAACTTAGCAGAGAACTAAGTAACCTAGTCACTTTTAAGTGAGATTTGATTAATGACACAAAGAAATTATAAATACTTCGGTAAGTAGTAACACCTTAATAACCAATAATTTGCTTAACTTCGGCTTGACTGCTTTCCAAGGAGTAATGTTTCTGTTTTTACAATCCCGTTAGTCTTCAGAATGACTCTGTACTTTTCACCTTCTCTTCTAAGCTAAGGGTTGGGCTGATGGAGAATTTCATCCATGCATATAATGTATCTAACAAGTCTACCTCTATTCTACTCCTCAATTATTCCCCCCAATATTCCCTTTCGAGTGCGAGAGTTCTCTTTGAGAACAAACAGTCAAACCATGGACATGGACTCCACCTAGTGCTGTCAGTGTGAGTGTGGGCATGGGGCCATCTACGGGGGCACGAGGAGCTGCTCTAGAGACCTGCCCCCGGCAAACAGACCCTCCCAGCCAAGCAGCTGTCAGGAGTCTAGAGATCCTCCGCTAGCGGTGAGATTTTCCTACTACCTCTCCGCGCCACGCGGGGACTTTGGTTTTCTCTTGTACAAGTTTTGTGCATGCAGTCACAACCACTGGTCAGTTTACATGTACAACTACTCTGTTGTATGTCTGGGAGGCTCTGTCGGCTCCATAAAAAAACATCTTCTCATGGAAGAAATCCAAAGAATGGTTTGTTTTGGGTTTTATATCATAATCATATGAAAAACAGAAAAAAATACGAGAGTGTGTAAACAATTGTTATGTACACATATTTCATTTCCAAATTTATTTTTATAAAATAGATTTTAAGTTACTAAAATGGTACTTACTTTAAAATCAAGGTATCTATGTATTATACAGAGGGTGACAAAATCTTCAGCAGATAGGCCAGGTAAGTTTTCAAAATCTATCAAAGTTTGTTCAGAGAGAATTATTTTAATAGGAGCAAATGATTTCGAGATTCATAGTTCTACTCTAAAAACAAATGCAGACAGACACTCCCACTACAAATGCTTTGGCAGGTTATCCTCACATGGTCATTAGCAAGAACTCATTCTTCTGGACCGTGGGCAGAGAGCATTCACTATCAGAAGCTAAAGAGCAAATGAGAACTTTGTCCTTAATAGATAGCAAAGACCTTAAAAACTGAGATGATTTAGAATGCTAATGTTTAAGCCTAAACATCTGAATTAACTGCTCATGGTCCTGCTACACACTGAAATTGCTGGAAAGCAAAAAAGAACTGCTCTTTGAACACATTATTCTCTCATATATTCATCCCAGGCACGGCTCTGACTTGGACACTGAGGTCCCGAGGCAGCACGCAGTTACTGCCCAGAGGGGCTTAGCTCACGTGTGTCAGTGGACTCTGCGGCAAAAGAAAGCACAGCGAACTCTTCCCACAGAAGCTCTTGGGAATCACAGGGGTTTCTTACCCAATTTTCCCAGCACAGCATAGATCTTTGCTCTGATGTTCTCAGCGACATCCATAACTGCGATAGATGGGCAGTTAGCAGGGAGGGGCATGATCTTCTGCTCTTCCTGGAAACTAGTAAACAGAGGCTTCTTTGTATCTAACCATCGGGCACCATGGAACATGGAGAGAAGAGATAAAAACTATAGTGATTATTTGATATTTTCTCTATATAAAACAGATCGAAATAGAAATATATATTTAAAATTTAAAACAAAAATATAGTGCTTTGATTTTTCTTTTTTCCAAGTTCTAGGAATCCACCCCAGGTCTGGCAAGTAAGCACTCTATAGCTGAGCTCACTGCTACACTGCCAGGCCAAGGATACCATGAAAGCATAATCAGTGTATTTTCCCACTCTGCCACAAAACTTATGGCTTTCACTTTTCTTATTTATGTAATATAAAAAATTACAGTTACTCTGAGCATAATGGCATATGCTTTTAATCCCAGAACCAGGGAGGCAGAATCAGGTGAATCTCTGTGAGTTTGAGGCCAACCTGGTCTACATAGAGAGTCTCAGGACAGCAGCGGCTACATAAGGTGATCCTGTCTCAAAAGGAAAAAAAGAACTCACAGCTATAGTTTTAATTTTTAAAAAGGTTTATTTATGTGTGTATGCCTGGGTATGTATGCCTCATGTATGGGAGTGCCAACGGACGCCAGAAGAGGGTGCTGACTTTCAGAAACTGGAGGTACAGGCAGTTGTGAGTCATGTGACCTGGCTGCTGGGATTCAAACTCAGGTCCTCTGGATGAGAGCAAGTGCTCTTAACTGCTGAGCCCTCTCTCCAGCCTACAGCCGTATCTTCTCTAAAGATAAAAATTTAATGTAAAAAAACTTGTCAATTTAAAATTATAGATGAGATGATGTCATCAATAGTGGTACAACATTTTTGATTGGTGTCTATAAATTATGTCATAAAGAGAAAAGCTGACTGATGTTTTACTTCAAAACATAGATAGCAAAAGGGAGACAGAGATCATTTGAAGTAGCTGAATTTTTAATAACAGATATTACTAAGAGTTTAGCTAAAAAGACAATTTGAGTGTGAAAGGCTCAGAAGACATAGCCTGGTATTATAGACTCTATAAGTAGATTACACTCTGATTCCATCAACCTCAATAGTCTATGGCAGTTAAAACTGATGAACATCTGACATATTTTTACTAGATATCAATTTCTTTTGTGTAAGAAGAAAATTATAGAAATTATAATAGAAATTTACAAAAGACTGTAAATATTGTTGTCAAACACTTTGTTTATACATAAAATTTTATTGGTAAATGTAATATCATTGAACCTAGTTTTATAAAAGCAAGAAATCCAAATACTTATGTAGGGAGCATCATTAATTTCTAAGTTAAAGAATATAGTCAGGCTGGGTGCTAGTGGTGCACACCTTTAATCCCAGCCCTCAGGAGGCAGAGGCAGGCTGATCTTTGTCAGTTCGAGGCCAGCCTGGCCTACAAGAGATAGTTTCAGGACAGGCTTCAAAGCTACAGAGAAACCCTGTCTCAAAAAACCAATATATATATATATATATATATATATATATATATATATATACACATATACATATATACATATATATATATATACACACACATACATATACATATATATAATATGTATTCAAATAATAGTGAAATGTCATGTTTTAAAATATTCTATAAAAACGAACCCACTACTTTTCTTCTAATTATTCACAATTTGCTGTTTTCTTGAGGAGAGCAAGTGGCTAGAGGGCGATCCACATTGCTGTTCTTCAGGCACCATCCACTTTGCTGTTGGCTTGTTTGTATCTGAGACAGGGTCTGTTTGACCTAGCATACGAGGTTTTGTGGGCCTTACAACGAACCTGCCTCCCCAGAGCTAAGATTAGGCCTGGGTTGTTTTGTGGTTCTGAGGTAGAACTTCAGTCCTTCAAGCCCTTCACTGACAGAACTATCCCCTTGGACCCCAATTATTCACAATTTCTGATAGAAAGTCTTCAGTAACTTATTGGGAAAACCCCGTAAAATGGCGTAAGTATCCTCATATTCCTATATTCTTTAAAACTCTAGGATACACCTCTAATTGTTTCTACCAAAAATTATGGACACACTTACCAACAATCATGCCATTTTTATCCCGTTTTACTCCCAGTTCCTTTTCCTCCTTCCTCCACAGTTTAATCAAGAGACTAGCAGCAGTGAGGTCCTTCTTCCCTCGCCAAGCATTGACGTGAGCAGATGTTTTGGGATTGTCACAAAATTCAACCATTATTCCAAGAATCAGATTACAGAATTTTTTTTGGTTCAACTTCGCAAGGAAATAGAAAATGACAAAAAAATATGGCAATAAATACAAAGAATGACTGTCTTACTGAAAGGGATACTTGGATTATTAGCACTGTTTGGCAGTGACAATGTCATTCATGACCATTCTCAAATATTAAAACTTAAAATAATAAAGAGATTTAAAATAATTCTTAAGTAAGTCATAAACACACTTTATAACCAGCAAGGAGGAACTCAGACATTCCCTGACCCCCTTGACTCCCTGGTCACTCTGCAGGGGCCGCTCCACCCTGCTAAGCTCTCTCGCCTCCTATTCCATCCCAGCTTTCACCCAGGAACCCCTTCCTTTATTCCTCCCTTCCTCCTTGGGGCCATAATATCCCCCAGCTCAGCCTGCTTGGACTCCAGGACTGGGTGGTAAATGCAACCCTGGCAGGAGGGAATTCCTGTGCTTCAATAGCCTGCCTGCAGAAAGGTAGGCCTTCTGTCAGTGAGGTCCCTGTCCAACAAGGGAACCTGACCTGGTACCAGAAGATCCATTAGAGAGCATTTGAAGGAAGAGATGGGCAGACGCCAAGGCAAGAATTCTTCCAACAATGTGAAAAACAACATGAAAACACCAGATCCCAGAGACCCTACAACAGAAGGACTTGAACACCCTAAACCAGAAGAAGTGGAAAAAAGTGCCATTATGAAAGCAATAGAGTCCCTTAAACAGGATATGAATAATTCCCTTAAAGAAAGGGATGAGAAGTATAACAAAAAGTTTGAAGAAATGAATAAAAAATGGATGAGAAGTATAACAAAAAGTTTGAAGAAATGAGTAAAGAAATGGACGAGAAGTATAACAAAAAGTTTGAAGAAATGAGTAAATCCGTAAATGATACCCTGGGAAACCAAGAAAAAAACAATCAAATAGGTAATGGAAACAGTTCAAGAATTGAAAACTGAAATGGAGGCAATGGAGAAAACACAAACCGAGGGCCGGCTGGATATGGAAAATCTAGGAAAAAGAACAGAGACTACAGAATGAAGCATAACCAATAGAATACAAGAGATAGAAGAACGAATCTCAGATTCTGAAGATGCCATAGAGAAAATAAACGCTCTGACCAAAGAAAACAGCAAATCCAACAAACTCTCATCACAAAACATTCAGGAAATCTGGGACTTAATAAAAAAACCAAATCTAAGAATAATAGGGGTAGAAGAAGGAGAAGAATTGCAGATCAAAGGCCCAGAAAATATATTCAACAAAATTATACAAGAAAACTTTCCCAACCTAAAGAACGATATTCCTATGAAGGCTCAAGAAGCATACAGAACACTGAATAGACTGGATCAAAAAAAGAAAAAAAACAAAACCATCCCCTGCCATGTAATAATCAAAACACAAAACATACAGATTAAAGAAAGAATATTAAGAGCTGCAAAGAAAAAAAGTCAAGTAACTTATAAAGGTAAACCTATCAGACTTACACCGGACTTCTCTATGGAAAACATGAAAGCCAGAAGGTCCTGGATAGAGGTACTGCAGAAACTAAGAGACCATGAATGCAAGCCCAGACTTCTATACCCAGCCAAGCTATCGTTCACAATCAATGGAGAAAACAATATATTTCAGGATAAAGACAAATTTAAAAAATACATAGCCACAAATCCAGCCTTACAGAAAGTAACAGAAGGAAAATCACAACCCAAGGAATCTAACATTGCCAACACTGCCTACAATAACTCAGACATCTAGCAACCCTTCACAAGCACAACTCAAAGAAGGGAAACACAAACTCTACTACACAAAAAAATAAATAAATAAATAATAACCAGAGTCAACAACCACTGGTCATTAATATCACTTAATATTAATGGACTCAGGGGGCTGGAGAGATGGCTCAGAGGTTAAGAGCACTGATTGCTCTTCCGGAGGTCCTGAGTTCAATTCCCAGCAACCACATGGTGGCTCACAACCATCTGTAATGAGATCTGGTGCCCTCTTCTGACCTGCAGGAATACATGGAAGCTTAACACTGTGTACATAATAAATAAATATTTAAAAAAATATTAATGGACTCAACTCACCTATAAAAAGGCACAGACTAAGAGATTGGATACAAAAAACAGGATCCAACATTCTGCTGTTTACAAGAAACACACCTCAACCACAAAGACAGACATCTACTCAGAGTAAAGGGTTGGGAAAAGGTTTTTCAAGCAAATGGACCTAAGAAACAAGCGGGTGTAGCCATTCTAATTTCCAACAAAACTGACAATAAAGGAACTTCTGGAGGCATTACCATCCCTGACTTCAAACTCTATTACAGAGCTACAGTATTGAAAACAGCTTGGTATTGGCATAAGAACAGAGAAGTCGACCTATGGAATCGAATAGAAGACCCGGATATTAACCCACAAACCTATGAACACCTGATTTTCGACAAGGGAGTTAAAGGTATACAATGGAAGAAGGATAGCATCTTTAACAAATGGTGCTGGCATAACTGGATGTCAACCTGTAGAAGAATGAAAGTAGATCCATATCTATCACCATGCACAAAATTCAAGTCCAAATGGATTAAAGACCTCAACATTACTCTGACCACTTTGAACCTGATAGAAGAGAAAGTGGGAAGTAGTCTACAAGACATAGGCACAGGAGACCACTTCCTAGGTAGAACCCCAGTAGCACAGACAATAAGAGAATCAATGAATAAATGGGATCTCCTGAAACTGAGAAGCTTCTGTAAAGCAAAGGACACTGTCACTATGACAAAAAGGCTACCTTCTGACTGGGAGAAGATCTTCACCAACCCCTCATCAGACAAAGGTCTGATCTCCAAAATATACAAAGAACTCAAGAAACTAGACACTAAAACTCTAATTAACCCAATTAAAAAAATGGGGTACTGAACTGAACAGAGAATTCTCAACAGATGAACTTCGAATGGCCAAAAGACACTTAAAGTCATGCTCAACCTCCTTAGCGGTCAGGGAAATGCAAATCAAAACAACTTTGAGATACCAACTTACACCTGTCAGCATAGCTAAACTCAAAAACACCAATGATAGCCTACGCTAGAGAGGATGTGGAGTGAAGGGAACACTCATCCACTGTTGTTGGGAATGCAAATTTGTGCAGCCACTGTGGAAATCAGTGTGGCAGTTTCTCAGGAAACTGGGAGTCAACCTCCCTCAAGACCCAGCAATTCCACTCTTGGGAATATACCCAAGAGATGCCCTATCATACTACAAAAGCATTTGTTCAACTATGTTCATAGCAGCACTATTTGTAATAGCCAGAACCTGGAAACAACCTAGGTGCCCCTCAATAGAAGAATGGTTAAAGAAGGTGTGGAACATATACACATTAGAGTTTTACTCAGCGGTAAAAAACAATGACATCTTGAATTTTGCATGCAAATGGATGGAAAAAGAAAACGCTTTACTGAGTGAGGTAACCCAGACCCAAAAAGGAATATGGTATGTACTCACTCATAAGTAGATTCTAGCCATAATTAAAGGTCTTTGAGCCTATAATTCGTGATCCTAGAGAAGCTAAATAAGAAGGTGAACCTGAAGAAAATCATATAGTTATCCTCCTGGATATTGGAAGTAGACAAGATTGCCAGGCAAACTTGGGTGCACGGGGGGTGGGGCATGGAAGTAAGGGGAGATGGTTAGAGAGAAGGGAGAAGGGAAGGATTGGGGATAGCTTGGGAGAATGGGATGGGGGGAGAGAGGAAGGATGGATATGGGAGCAGGGAAGTATATATTTCCACTAAGGGAGCCATTTTAGGGTTTGCAAGAGACTTGATTCTAGAGGGGTTCCCTGGACCAAGGAGAGGTCCCAAGATTGGTGCCTGAACTGGCCTTGGCCCATAACCATACTGATGAATATTTTGCATATCACCATAGAACCTTCATCTGGCGATGGATGGAAATTGAGACAGAGACCCACATTGGAGCACTGGACTTAACTCCATAGGTCCACATGAGAAGCAGAAGGAGGGAGAACGTGAGCAAGGAAGTCAGGATCAGAGGGAACCTTCATCCGACAATGGATGGAGATAGAGACGGAGACCCACATCGGAGCACCAGACTGAGCCTCCAAGGTCCAAATGAGGAGCAGAAGGAGGGAGAACATGAACAAGGAAGTCAGGACCGCGAGGGGTGCGTTCACCCACTGATACAAGTGGACTGATCTAATGAGAGCTCACCAAGGCCAGCAAGACTGGGACTGAACGAGCATGTGATCAAATCGGATTCTCTGAATGTGGCTGACATGGGGGCTGTCTGAGAAGCCATTGTCAATGGCACTGGGTCTTGTTTTGTCTGCATATACTGGCTTTTTGGGATCCTAGTCTCTTTGGATGCTCACCTTCCTGGACCTGGAGGGAGGCGGGAGGAACTTGAACTTCCCACAGGGCAGGAAACCCTGACTGCTCTTAGGACTGGAGAGGGAGTGGGGGGAGTGGGAGGGTATTGGGAGGAGAGAAGGAAGTGGAAATCTTTATAAATTAATAAAAAATAAAAAAACACACTTTATAGTAAAAATTTGGTGGAAATGGAGAAGTTTTCAAAAATGAAAGGATAATATATATACATATATGTATATATACATATATACACATATACACATATATACATGATCATAGTCATCAGTAACAGATCAGCTGTGAGTATAGGATCATTCCCATTTACATGCTTTACTGAGTGTTGAAAAGAATAATATATACTTATAATCTTATTATCATGAGATTAACTGATATAACTGTGATAGTCAAATATGAAAAACCTTAAATTAATGGGTCAATTTGTGCTCTATCAGTAACTATGTAAGAGTTTTTAAGAATTCAAGAAAATTTCTCCTATCATCAAGCACACATATTAAGTGTAGAAAATTCCATCTAATCCTAACTTTGAAGGTTCAGATTTATACGTTTAACTTGGACCTGTAGCTAGTAAACTAGAAAAGTGCCAGTTGGGAGTAAGCCGTCTTAAAGGAGGGAGGCTTATAGACCACAGGTGAGATGAAAGGGTCAGAGCATACTGGAGAGAGGAAGGAGACAGAAAAGATGGGGAAGGGAGAAGGGTGGTGCAGGGTAGGGAGGGAAGGTTAACTAAATGAGGGGGCTATAAAAAAGCTATAGGGAACCCTACTACTTTGTAAGCCAATAAAACACGTTAAGAGGCTGGCTAGATGGCTCACTTACTGTGGAATAATGCTCATGTACACTGTAAAGATTTGTCATTTGTACTGTTTAATAAAGCACTGACTGGCCAGTAGCCAGGCAGTAAGTATAGGTGGGGCAACCAGATTAAGATTTCTGGGAAGAGGAAAGGCAGAGACATTGTCATCAGCCAGACAGAGGAAGAAAGTTAAGAACGCCTCACCGAGAAAAGGTACCAAGCCACATGGTTAAACATAGATAAGAATTATGGGTTAATTTAAGTTGTAAGAGGTAGTTAGTAATAAGTCTGAGTAATAAGCCACAGTTTATAATTAATTTAAGCCTCTGTATGTTTCTTTGGGACTGAATGGCTAAGGGACCAGGAGGGACAGAAACTTATGTCTACAAATGGTGCCCAAATGTTTAGCAAAAATTTCCATATAAAGTCTGGGAAAGCTTAAAAAAAAAAAAAGAGGAGTCTAGACAGACGAGAACAGAGTCAAGTGCAGCTTATTGGTAACCACCTTTACTCTAATAGGCTCTGTTTGCTGTCAGCAAGCAGAGGCACGGCTCCTTTAAGAAAGACTTCCTGACTTAGTATTTGCAGCAAAAACCACATGGTGGTTCTTTTAAGAGGCCCTGCCACTAAACACTTAAATGGTGTTTATGAGCAAGCTTCTTAGTGGTGGCACGGAAACTCCACAGAGTTGTGGCAATAAATGTGGCTCCTGCCAGTACCTCCACCACGAAGCTAGACTTGCAAAAAGCTAAGGAACGGGTGCAGTCAGTCGCCAAAACTGCAGTTTTAATCTTAGTCATATTGCACAGCAGATTAAAGACTCATGTGGTCAAAAAAGATAGAGATATACTGTAAATAAAAATTCAGTTGAGAAAAATATTTAAATGGTTACATGGTATTTAAAAATATATGCAGGCTTGGGAGATAAAAAAGAGAAAAAGAATAGAGAAAGTCCTTAAGAAAAAAAATAGTAGTTGGGTATGGTAGCAATTGCCTTTAATCCCAGCATTTGGGAGGCTGAGGTAGGCAGATTTCTGTGAGTTTGAGACTAGCCTGGTCTACAGAGTTGAGTTCCAGGACAGTCAAAAATATACAAAGAAACCCTGTCTCAAAAATCTAAAAATTAAAAATAAAAATAAAATAGAGTTTAAAAAAAGTCACATAAAGATGGAAAAAACACAGAGAATCTCGATACTATTTGTTATTGTGTTGTTTTTTAATTGTTTGAGGCTGAGGAAGAAGTAATAGCTGCTAAAAGACATTTGATTACAAATGCTGCTGGATTAATCCAACATATATATTATTTTTAAAATGCCTGGACTTCAAAAATTTAAGTTAAAAGTTAGGATGCTTTGGAGAAGAGGTTTTGTTTTTGTGCTCACAAAATAAAAAGACACAAATATGGGAAAGAGATTTGTAAGGAGGAGGGAAGGATGACAGGACAGAAAGGAGGCAAGAGGGTGAGGGATGAGAGAAAAGTGGTTGTATTACATACATGCAAGGAATTGTCAAAGGAGAAACCTAATTAAAAAAATCCCATCTGCAACAACAGGTTCCACATAGTAAATTTTCTATGTAAAATATTCTTTGTAGATGACCCCTCTGCCACAGAAAATATATCTTTTGTTTGAACTGTAAATGCGGTCAGTTTCTGTGATGGCTACTCTCGGCAACCTGACTACATCTGGAATTAACTAAAACCAAACGACCGGACATACCCGGGAGGAATTCTTTTGGAATTAAATATTTGAACTGGGAAGATCCAAGTCTAGTCTGGTTCTTTGAGGTGGAAGACAAACTTTTTAGTCCAGATCTTTTGAAGTGGTAAGAAGCTCTTTAATCTGAGCCCCATCGTCTGCTGGGAGCCCATATAAAGGACACGGAAGAGGGAAGTTTGTTCACTTGTCTGCTTAACTCTTGCTAGAAAGTCCATTCCTTCACAGGTGTTACAGCCTCCGTCCTCAGGATTCTGGGGTTCACTGCAGAGCAGCCGAGACATCTGGCCTTGGGAACTGGTAACTACTGACTCTTGGACTTTCCATCGGTAGGCAGCCATTGTTGGATTAGTTGGACCACAGCCTGTAAATCACTCTACTAAATATTTCTGTGTAGACAGATTCAGTCTGTACGTTCTGTTCCTCTAAAGAAGCCCAACTAACACAGATTTCATGATAGATAGCATCACCTGCAATGGGTTTTGTTATAAGAAACTGTGATACACAGTAAGTGTTCCATGCTATCTAACCCTTGTCAAGCAGTATTATTGCACATTGAATAAATATTTTAGCAGAATTGTATTAAAACATAACCTTAAATGAAATGAGAATTTTGTGGGTTTTTTTATTTGTTTGATTTTGATTTTAATTCCTATACTTCACTTTCAGGAGAAAGACACAAATGTCAGTGATTGAAGTTGGTCACAGCATTCTAACAGTTATCGACTAAATCCACACTAAGCACAATTTAGTAACACGATCACTGCAATCATGTATGTAGGCACAATCTAAGTCAGTGTGTTTATAGTCACATAAGCGTAGCATATTCCTGTGCGGATGCACTTAGTGCTTTCACGCACACGCAATATGACATTCATTTGACCCTCTAAATACCAGGATGAGACAGCTACTCTGTTTTTATAGATGAAAACATTATGAACAAAGTAATTTACAAATTCTCTTTCAAGAACATGATGGGACACAGACAATTTGGTATGTTTGTCAGATCAAAGTAGGTTTATTATTCTGTTAATAAGAAGTATGGTAATTATATTGACATGTCTGTGACTCTCCATGAGGCCTTGAGACTTGCAGTGAAACTAAGTCATGACTTTCTTCCCTATAAAACTGACTACTTGCCTAGTTTAAATAACCAGAGCTGAGGGCTGTGCTCCCCACAGCTGCCCGCCGCTGACTCCGAGCCCATTCCGTTCACACCACAGGCCCTCATATCACCTCTGAGCTGCAGACAGCTCCTTAAAAGGGTCATCCTTTTCTAGTGCTACCACAACTTTAATATTGGGGGAAAGCTAGGAGTTACTGATTGGTTGACAGAAGTTTGATACAGGACACAGGGAGGCTTGTCACAAACTGTTCTTGGCAGGTTGATAGAGTAGTAGGGAAAACTTTGCAAACACTGACCTCCACAAACTGATTCCTTAACTGGAGGAAAGTTCAGATCCTCACTATGTAGTGTTTCTAGCATAATCTCCATTTTTTAATCTTTTGTGTTAAAGTGCTGTGGAAACTACTTACTGCCAATATATCCAAAAGGAGAAAAATTCCTTCCTTTTCAAGGAAATAATCTTCAGAAGTATAGCATCCCAAAATGCAGCACCTTCAATGAAAAGAAGCCAGTCATTCCACAAACGTGTCATTAGAGTTAACCTGTAGACCCGTCTTCCCATCACAGCACCACTAGGCAAGGCTTTTACTTTATTCCTTTAAATCAAGTGGCCAGTTTGTCTTTACTTTAAAAATTAAACTCTGAAGAAGCTTTATAATTGTAGTTTAATTGTAGCTATTTATTTTTAAGACTTTTGTGTGTATGTGTGCATGCAGGCTAGAGGTTGGTGTCAGGTGTTCTGGAGCTGCAGTTACAGGCGGTTAGGAGCCACCTCATCTAGAAGCTGGGAAACAACTCAGGTCCTCTGGAAGAGCAACATGCACTTTTAACTGTCGACTGTCTCGCCAACCCTAAATTCAACTACTTTTAAAAACTAATACCAGCCAGGAGGTGGTGGTTCACACCTTTAATCCCAGCACTTGGGAATCAGAGGTAGGTGGATCTCTGTGAGTTTGAGGTCAGCCTGGCCTGGAGGAGCTATTTCCAGGAGAGCTAGGACTGTTATACAGAGAAACCCTGTCTTGACACCTCCCCTACCCCTGCCAAGATAAACTGATACCAATGAATTCCCTACAATTTTCTTTGTTTCATGGGCGAGTTTCCTTTCCTTTCACAACACTGATGATTCTTAAAGACCTCTAGCTGTGGGAATGATGGTTTTCCACGTTCACCTGTCTATCATCTCTTTCATGATCTGGTGCAGCTGGAATGCTTGACCATTCTTGATCGTTTGCTAAAGTGTCTACTATTCAAGTCTGTGTAAACGGCATGGAGTGACGGCCTGGGTCACTCCAAGGCTGCTTTTACTCTTCTCCTCAGGAGATCTGAGCTATCACTAATAATAGAGACGAGGGTCATCATTAGTAACAGACTTCTATCTGTTTTTTCCAAGCATTAAAGACAGCTTCTTCTGTCCTTTGGTTAAATATGGCTTCCTTTTGAAAAGGAGAGACCAGGTTGGTTTGTGCAAGTCAATGGGGATTATGCGGATTTCATTATCTGAGGTGAGAAGACCACCACTGTGGGGGGGCACCATTCTCTGGGCTATCTAAGAGTGGAAGAAAAGGGCTGAGCACCAGCATGCATGCATTTATTCTCTCTCTGCTCTTAACTGTGGATGGAAAGAGATTGGCTGTTCCAAATTCCTGACACCTTGACCTCTCCTGTAGCAATGGGCTGGGATTTGGAATCAGGGACCAAACACACCCTTTCTTCCTTGGGTTCTGGTCAGAGTGTTTTGTCATAGCGGTTAGAGAAGAAGCAAAGTCAGATGTTTTCTCAGTTTACAACTTTTCAGTCTTTATAAGTGACTTAATTTCTATAATAAATATTCCTTTCTATATAACATATTAATTTTATTTCTCTGGAGAACTCTGACGTTATCAATAAAAGCTAAGAAGAACAAAGAACAAGGAAAAGTAATTGTTGCACCACATGTCCAGGTATATTTAAAAGGTGTAATTATTAAAACAACACAATCTCACAAAACGGTTAGAAGAATGTCGGGAATAGAGCAGAGAGCCTACAGGAGCCAAAGCAGAAGGAGCACATGGCATACGTAAAGCAGATCCTTCCCTAGATCACACCAAAGTGGAATGAGATTAAATCACAACAAGCAATTGAGCTTTGAAACAAGTGGCTTTTCTACTTGAGTGATGGCTTTGTTATTTCTCAAACTCATGTTTAGGTCATCTGCACAGAGAAGGCACAACTTATCCCTCCAGTGTGATTCTGAGGGGAGAAAGTTGACAGCTGTAAATTTAATTTTCGTTTATGGGGTGTTCAGCTGGTCACAGTCATACTCACCAAATGCTGTCTAAAGTACTGAAGAGAAGGACATTGTAGCCTAAGCCACTCTGCAACTTCTTGGGGTCTGTTTTCATTACATGAAGAATTATGTCAACTCCTTCAGTTCCAAACATTTCCTGTTGAAGAGAGTTGTTTATATCATTTCTTGGAATAAATTTATAATTGTTCTTTTCTCTACCTCACCTTATCTCTTAAGTGTTTTGTTTGTTTTGTTTTTCCTACCAGAAAAACCATGCTAGCAATGGGGCAATGGGTTGGTTTTTTCCAAGCGAGGTTTACTAGTTTCTAAACTAGGAATTTTAATACAATTAAACACTGCATTCATTTGGAGCTTGAGGGATGACTCAGCAGTTCAGAGCACTGTGGGTTTGAGTCCCAGAACATGGGAGCTGACAATCATCCATAACTGCAGTTCCAGGGAATTGGAAGCTTTTCTCTGCCATCTGAGAGTACCAACACATACAGGGAGGCAGAACACCCATACACATAAAATAAGCAAACAAATCTAAAAAGTAGGTTTTTAAATAAAATTTGTACTCATTCATTCCTAGTTCTTCATTATAATGCCAAGCACTTTACGAGGGTATCACACAAGGTGCTAAGTTAATGTCCTAACATTTTTTTTTCTCTGTGTCTGAATAATGTAAATCATATAAAACTTGCCTATGACTTTCTCCACATTAGACTGAATGCAATCTGGAGTCATGCCAAATGAATAGCGGCCATCAGTGTGTATCATGAAGATGTTATAAAGTTCTCAGAAAAGGAATAAGTAGACGAATGGTCATGGAGCCTTCAGTGACTGCCATGAGATCACTACCACTCAGTCTTTACCTTACTGTTTATGTCTCTCACTGCCACACTGTTCTGTGCTAGTTCCCATTGAGATCAAGATTATGTTTCTAGACAAGCAGGCACAGGACAGAAAAGAATAGTACATTATAGGTCAAGACTTGGAACTAAACCCTTTCTTTTCTTTCTATTACCTCTCTTTAAATATCTATCCAGGGTGCTGGAGAGACAGCTCAACAGTGAAGAAAATGAGTTCTCTTTCAGACCTACCTTTGACTCCCAGCACCCACATGACAGCTGCTGTGGAAAAATGCTCATGTACACTGCAAAGATTTGTCATTCATATTGGTTTAATAAAATGCTGATTGGCCAGTAGTCATGCAGGAAGTATAGTGGGGCAACTAAACTAAGAGAATTCTGGGAAGAGGAAAGAGAGCAGTCGCCACCCAGATACAGAGGAAGCAAGATGATAATGCATTACTGAGAAAAGGTACCAAGCCACATGGCTAAACACAGATAAAAATTATAGACCAATTTATGTTGAAGAGTTAGTTAATAATAAGCCTGAACTAATAGGCTAAACAGGTATAGGACCCAGTGGGACAGAAACTTCTATCTACACATAACTTCAGTTCCAGGGGATCCAGTGCCCTCTTCTGGCATTGAGTACCAGGCATGAATATGGTGCACAGGAATACCAGTGAACAAAATATTCATATACATAAAGTATAAAATATAAAAAATTTAAAAATCTATCCAACTCTTTCTAATTTTTGTTATTCCACTTCTATCTCCTCCTGTCTAAATTATCAATTTATGACACTCAATAGTTTTCTACAGATCTAATAAATATCAAAGGGAATTAAACTCTTGTTTGGAAATTCTAGTTTTAGACATAAAGACATTTCATACTTCAAGTGATATTTCTGACACTACAACTCAGGATGGAAAACTATTCGGCTATTTTAGGTCTTGTAATTCAACTCCTAGGTTTTTACTCAGCAGAAATGGAAGCATTACATTCCCCAAAAGACTAGGTCAAGAATGTTCACTGAAGCTTTAGCTTTAACCCATCCAAACAGAAACTGTCTGACAGTTCATAGAATACTACTGAGCAATAAAAATACATACAACAATGTGAATATATTTCAGAAATACCAATTTCTGTCCGGATAACAGAAACACACCTGGAAGAGCAAATACTGTCTGATTTTACTCACATAAAGGATTGGCAAAACTAATCTGCAGGTAAGTAGATGTGTGGCTGCAAAGCACATGAGTAAATGTGAGACCTGTATGATGTTGAATGGAGAGATATATACTACATGTTCCAATTTGAGTATTGGTAAATATGTTATATATGTTCACCAAACCTATTGAGATATATATTCAAGCTCTGTGCATTTCACTGTATGCAATTACACTTTAATTATAGCAAGTATTAAAATTTAGTTAGCTTTTTAAATTTTATTTATTTACTCATTATATATGTATGTGGGCAGTCGTGTGTCATGACAGTTCTCTCCTCTGTCTTGTGGATTCCAGAGCCGAGACTCAGTTGTCAGGCTTAGCAGCAGTGTGCTTAACTGCAGCAGTGTGTTTCACTGCAGGCTTAGCTGCACTGTGTTTAGCTGCAGCAGTGTGTTTCACTGCAGGCTTAGCTGCAGTGTGCTTAACTGCAGCAGTGTGTTTCACTGCAGGCTTAGCTGCACTGTGTTTAACTGCAGCAGTGTGTTTAACTGCTGAGCCATCCCAGCAGCCCATATTCTACACAATTAGGAAAAAGAAAAACCATTTATGGACAGCAGGCTCACAGGGATCGCACACCTTCCTTTGAATGTAATGCTCGCAGAGCCCCGAAAGGATGAGCAATGCATCAGACTGGATCTCCAAAGCAATGGCTTCTTCCTTTTCATCATGTTTGCTCGCCATATTTTTAAAGATTCCTGGCATGAGAAAAATTGAAAAGTCTAATTATTAGATGTATTTTTGTTATTTACTGTTAGGAAGCTCCCTTTAAGAAGAATCTTCAGCTAGAGAAAGTATTTTATCACAGAGGGAACTGTTTTCATTGCATAGTAACCTAGAAGCTGTGAACAGAGGTGGTAAATGGATTTCTTAAGCACTTAGGCCAGCTGGCTCACAAAGAATCTCTACATACATACATACATACATACATACATACATACACACACAGCCCCATGGATATAGAATATCTCAATATCTATGGCAATATCAGTATTACACATGTAGGAATATCAGTACAGAATTAATGGAATGTCACTAAATGATGACCTAACAACTTCTTATTTTGACCAACAAGTTTTGTTTAAAAACATGCAGTTTCAAGCAACACCCCCGGCCCCATGCCATACATACAAAAAAATGCAGATGGGGGTTTCTAGCCCTGGCCTGCAAGTGAACTCTAGCAACAGGTTATGAAGTGGTCCACCCCAGCATCTATCCCATCTGTGATCTGCTGATCCTACACACCCAAAGCCGCAGGAACCCTAAAAAGGGCAATAACAGGATGCCCAAGAGGAGACCCAGGGAGGGCTCAGCATCTATAGTGTAGCAGAAACCAGAGGCCTTGGACCAGGCCAATGACTCTTTGCAATGAACACTTGCAAGTAAAGATACATGGATAAAAAGGTTCACTGCGTGACTCGTTGTGTCACACTACAGCTTCCATGATGAGATTTTTCCCTTTTTGTTCTTTTCTTTTCTCTCTCAAATTTTATTATATTGGGGGGGGGGGTTGCAAGGACACAGGGTGGATACAAAGGGGCAGGGAAATGAATGGGATTGAGATGCATATTTGAAAGACACAAAGAATAAAGAGAAGGTTAAAAATCATGTAATTTCATGAGGTAAGGATATATACTTCTGCAAATTTGTTATCAAAATGTCTAACTATAGCTGGGCAGTGGGGGTGCACACCCTTAATCCCAATACTCTGGAGGCAGAGGCAGACAGATCTCTGTGATTTCTAGGTCAGCTTGGTCTACAGAATGAGTTCCAAGATGGCCAGGGCTACACAGAGAAACCCTATCTCGAGAGCAAAACAAAGCAAAATGCTAACTGTAGGTTGCTCTATCTCTCCCTTTCTCTGCAGTTCACAGGTAATATTTCGGAGAGCTCTCTAAGCATGTGATCTCCCTGCTGTTCTGTATCTTCTCTGCGAGAGCTAAGCATATGATTGGACAAACCTGCTAACTTGTGTTTGATCCAGGAAGCCTACATAAAGTGGTGAAAGGAGAGAAGTGACTTCACAAAGATGTCCTCTGACCTCCACATGTGCATAGTGGCACATTCTCTCTCTCTCTCTCTCTCTCTCTCTCTCTCTCTCTCTCTCTCTCACACACACACACACACACACACACACCATGCATACATACATATACATAAAATTTATATTAAAATTAAAAAGCCCACAGCACTGCACATACAGACTCACAAAACAGAACACGCTATCCCCATGAAGGATAGAATTCAAACTCTGCTATTTACCACTCAAAGTTTTTCCCAACTTGTTTACTGCTTAGGCAATCAACTCTCATCACATTGTCTTTATAGCACTCGGGCTGCGTTCCCGCCTCCTGAGCACATTATCCCGCTTATGTCGACACCACACCTCTGCTCAAGACGCCTCACCGCCTTGCTTTTGAGAACAATCTTTTTTCCTTTCTTGAAACTACACCCACTGAAGCTCCAACTGAGACTGCCCGAGTTGGAAAATAACTAAGACTCTCTAGCTTTACGGTTTCTGCCACTCATTAGGTGCCCAGATGAAGGTTCTCATCAGGGCAAGGTTCCCCGGTATTGTGACCAATACAGCTTTTACTCTCTCTAAGGAAAAGGCGTATCTACACAGACACTGTATTTGTAGAGCTTTTTCTATATTTTCAAGGATGGAACTTCTATAAAGCCCTGCTCGGCTAAAAAAGACAAGTTCCCTGCATCTAGAAATTCTGTAACAAAGATCAGCTTTGAATGGAAGGAAAGGTGTCCTGGGAGAACCCGTGCTGATTGCTAGGCTTCCCCCAAACACATTTCCTCAGTTTAGGCAGGATTATAATTTCTCTCTGGGTATATGATTGCATTTCCAGCTACAATGGGGCATTTGGACTCAGTTTTGTGCAATGGAATGCACGGAGCTGTGATTAAAATGCACTTCCATGCTGAGTCACCTAAGCTCCTCTAGAATAAGGGTAAATGTTTTCACGTAACTCCGCTTTCAATCTATTGGTTTATACGGGGCATGGTTTAAACCCAGTAAGGGATTAAACGTAAGGTCAGGCCCCTCCCTTCTCTCTCTCTATTGATATGTATAGATATACATATAGATAGATAAAGATAAATGTTTGGTTTTTCTTGTGAGTACTGTAATTGGAGGGTACTATTCCTCTTCTAACGATGAATGACAAATATTTTAGTAAGTAAAGGATTCTTTTTTTTTTTAAAGCATATTGCAATTAGCTGACATCTAGCAGGGCTTCAATCTAAACCTTGAATGTCCCTTAAAGGCCATGTGTTGGGAAGTGGTGTAAGGTTTAGGTGGTAGGGTCTACTGGAAGAGAGGATGATGACAAACTGGTCCCTTCCGGTTTCTCTTTCACTTCTAAGCCGCTAAGACACAATGGTTTATTTACCACAGGTTCCAAAACATTACGCCAATTACCATGGATGGAGACCTGTGAAACTGTGAACCAAAGGATCCCTCCCAGGCGTCTGTCACTGTGACAGACAGGTAACATGAGCAAAACACAGATGTTCCTAAAATACCTATATCCAGGGAAGCCTAGGCCCCTAACATGCTGCAGGAAGGTTTATCCGCCTACTGGGGCGTGGCCTCATAGACTATTTACCTGGATGCTGAAGCAAGTCCGGCCCCTTTTCTCCTCCCCACCTGGCTCCCATTTTTGCTGGTCCAGAGGGTTGTTAGGATCTCATCTCCATCCACCTTTCAAGCAGAGAATCCTGATTTATAAGTTTTCCCCCTAAATAAATAATGTCTATCTCTCAGTTCTGTGCCAATGTGAGATTTCTTTTAAGAGCCCAATATCTCTGCCTTCACTAACACATACTGCTGTAGTATCTGCACATGACACTCTGCATCCGTGGACACTGGAAGTCACCTCCAAATCACATTCAAAATCACATCCAATCCTAATCCAGTGGGAAGGCTGACCTTTGTCAGAAACTGCTACTTAGGGAGTGATGACAAGAAAAAGCCTTTCTGTGTTCAAACACACTTTTTTTTCCTCTTCTGTAATTTTGGCCTGTGGCTGGTTGAGTATGTGGATTCAGAAAGCTAAGCCACACAGGGACTCCACAACATTTACATGAAGCAATGCTGAGACAGCACTTTCAAAACCAGGAAGAGGGAGGGCTGAGGGACTGACGACGTACTTACAAATAATAAAGGCCAACACAGCTTGAACTGGAAGCTGAGGTTCATGAATTCGCTAGTGTTTATGTTAGAAAAGAGACCCCTGGACACTGGCCTCTGTGCACCAACCTTCCAGTGTTCTAAATGGACCATAAAATGGAACTTAGATCTTTTTGGAAAATGGTTCCACGGTGCTTGGCCAGAAGTGGTCATCTCATCACCAGAAAATGAAACATGACAATAGTTCCTTTAAATTAAAAAGATATTGTTGATGAAGTAGTCTCTAAAGTGTGGGAATAAAGCTTAAAGCATTGCTGTTGCTGATATTTCAGTAACAAGAGAACTGGTTGGCATCAACAAGATGAAAGAAAAAGCAGAAAAACTTTCAGGACATGGTCACTCATAAAATTAATTTGTAGGAGATTATTTCCCATGAAACCTCTAGAACTACAAACACCCTACTTGCACCAGTGAGCTGCCATGTAACACTTTACCTATTAGTTGATGAATAACCCCCCTTTCACAGAGATCCGTGTTCACAGTCTCATCTTCAAGATAAACCATGGCTCTGAGGAGCCGCAAGGTGTACCGCATCTGTGCAAACTTGTTTCCACGGCCGCCGGTCCCATGGAAACTGTTACCATGAAGAAAGAAGGAATCTGTGGAGAAATTAATAATTGAATTTATAGCTAAGAAACTTAAAGCATAAAGCATTTCAAGTAAATGTTTTTGCTTAAAAACAAAATAACACATCTGATATTTTAAATATCTATACATTTAAACAGATGTTAAAATTCAGTAATGTTTGCTTGTTTTTCTCTTATAGAAATATTATCCCTTCCCTTGGTCTTTCTAGTCTCTGAACGAAAATATGCCTTTTTAAATTTTACCCAAAGGGATCAGTGTTTGTGTCTATAACAGCATTCTTCCTTATCAATTTTTATGCTCGAGTATATTTTTAAGAATTTAATAAAATAACATTTACAAATTGAGGCTCTTCTCTCTGACAGACTATATTCTAGAGCCAGTGCTTCTGGCTAAAAAAAATCTAGATTTTAAATTTTATGAGGTTGTTTAAGGATTTGTGTCCAATTGAAGCCTAAATGTGTTTTCAGTAGCTGAAATAGTATCTTGTACTTCGTAGAGGCTCAATGAATGTTTGCTGAATGAATATATTAAACTTGTCCACATCTTATTTCCTTCCTAAGTATAATTTTTATAGACCTCAATATAAAAATTTAAATAAAATCATATATATAATTACTTCCAAGTGTTTATTAATTATATTTAAGATCTTTGTTACTATCTGACTTTGAAATCTCAATGTTTCTAAAGATTTGTTTTGAAGAGTCCAAGAATAAGAAAATAAAAATGTAGACTCCAAAAATAAGAATGTAGAAATAAAGAAATATAACGTTCTAAGTCTAGGAGAATGAGAGCAGACTCCCAGCAGCTTTCTCCAGATGAAGGCTCAGTCATTCACAGTGAGCTATTTTCTCGGATGCCTGGGAAGCCTCCATCAGCCTAGGTCATTTCATTTTACAACTGGCTGTTCGATTTACAAGGCCAGAGCTTCTCCCTGCAAATTGAGAGTAGTGTCCTGGCCATCCCTGATAAACGACAGATACTGACCTCTGGGTTAGGCACTGTCTCTGTTATGGGAAATGGACACCATTAAGGGGAGGCATAGGGGGGCTTCAGTATACACTGCCTGGAGGTACCAGGAGAAACAGTAGACAAGGTAAAAACATGGATTTGACTAATGAGCTCTGATAATGGAGGTTGTAAACTATGGCAGTCTGTATCTGAGTTTTACCTTGAGATGGTGTGAAGAACTTTCTGCTATCTTCTAAGTTTCCAACCTAAGAACCCAATTAATTCTAATTTATCAACCATCTAGTATTACTAGCAGTCCCTTTTCTGACTAATTGCTAAAGACATGTTTTCTTGCAATTAGTGACTTTACTGTAATCTACTCTGAAACATATTTCATGATAGCTGCTTGTTACCCATTGACATTAAAACTCACTCCCCTACTTAGGGTCTATGTTGACTGACCCACGGGGTCAGAACAAGATCATAAAAATTCCTTTGTTCAGAGCTAATGCTTGGTGCCCTAACTATAAAAAGTGGGCCCAGAAACCGGCCTTTTGCCACAGCCTAACAAGCACCATCTCTGGCTGTGGTCTCAGCTAGCTGATAAGCTTCTGTGCCCTGTGGTGTTTTTTTTTTTTAATTTTTTTTTTTTTTATTTTTAAGTTCGCTTCTGGTTTTCCTAGGATCTGGTTTCTGGAATAAAGTTTGCTTCTGGTTTATTAGACTTGGTGGTGTTCTCATCTTTGCGCAACACCCCTGGACCCAACAGTTTAATCTTTAATTATGTGTAAGTGTGTCTCTGTGGGGCATGGGCACATGAATGCAGGTGCCTGTAGAGGCCACTGAAACCCTGGGAGCTGGAGTTAAAGCACTTGTGAGCTCCCTGGCACAAGTGTCTGGAGCCAAACTCAGGTCTTCTACAAGAACAGTATGTGACATTAACTGCTAAGCCAGCTCTCTAGCCCTAAAATCTCCATGTATGTGAAGACATAAAAATACACTAAAAGAATGAATTTAATGCTTTTATTTTCTTCAATTTAACAATTGCTTGTCTATGTAAATACCACATGTTCATTTGAAATGCAGACTAGAATCTTGACAGGGCCCTGAACGACACTCACCCTCGTGGTCACACCATTCCAGAAACGCGAGGACTCGAGCATTGCCCTGGCATGACATATACTCTTCTATTAACAAAGGAGCCACTGAGGACAAGGTGGCGATCGCATGCAGCTGTAGCTCTTCATACTGCGCTGCAGACCACTCGATAATCTTGAGTCTCTCGGGCTTTTTCACATAGGTTAACAAGGCCAAAATAACTTTGCCATCGATTAATAGCTATAAGAAAAGTCAAAATGTATGTTGTTAGCAGCATAATTTAAAAAATCTGTACTTATTCTAGCAAAATTAAATACAAGGTTTCAAACTGATGATTTAGTGATGATTTCAAACCATTTCCTTCCTATCTGTGACAGTATTGCAAACACATGGAAATAAACAGATACCAATCGCCACCACCGACAGCACCTGGCAACAGTAAGAGCGGTGATCCCTTTCCTGGTGTAAGCTCCACAGAGGACAATAACAGAAACACTTTAATTTCTACATAGAATAAACTCACAGAGGTAGGAAACTGGAGGCAAATAAATGGGTGGCATTTCTTTCCTACTTCTTGGTTTCTCTTTTGTTACAGTGCTGGGAATCAGACCGCACCTTGTGCATACTCATCAAACAGCCTACTCTAAGCTGCGCTTTGAACCCTCAAAGGAGCTTTGTAACGTCAACAACAGGCCAAGATGAACTGCTTCTTAAGTATGGAAGAATTTACACACTATATCAAGGACTCAGTCAGGACACAAGCTATATTTAATCAGGCACCTTAAGATTTTATAACTTTATTGGACCTAGCATTTCAACAAAAATTAAAAAATGAATAATTATAAAAATGACCAATGGTTAACACAGCTGGCACTAACTGATGCATATTTCAGTTCACACGGGTACAAAGCACTGTCTTATATGACACTGTCTTTCTGCTGGCTTAGCATTACTCTGTAAAGAGGGCTTCCTAACAATTATGAGGTTTTTTAAACATCTCTACTCAATTCACTAGTGTGGTAATTCATGGTGTACATTCAAAAGGATCAAGATTTGGAGTTGAGTAAATATGAACAAGAATATTAGTTCTAGCATCACTGTGAAAATTCAGTGGACCAGGTTTGAAATACTCCATGAATTATAATAGTGTATATACTGATTCTTCCTACTATTGTTGGGTCAAAGACATGTAACCACAAAAATTAACTTACTGTTGTTCACAATGTATTTTAGAAATCTTATGACAACCTTTGTGCTGTTTGATTCCATTGCCTATAAAATAATCAATCAGTGAAAACTGTCTGACAAAATGTAGAATAAGATTTAATTATTGACTTTATACTTATAAGATTATTTAATTCTCCACTGTAAAAAAACATTTTATGAAAGGATTTTTCTGTTAAGCACTTCAGAAAAAAATATGTAGGCTATATACACTGTATATTTGATAGAAATTATAAAATTATAACTTAAATTAAGCTTTCTCTGGTTTTGCTATATATTATCTATTGACATTCTCAAGAAGAAGCCAAGTCCATTTAAATTGTCATAGTCTAACAATAACAACAATTATACTAACAATATCTCATAATAATCCCCAAGGCAGGTGTTCCCCTTGCTGGGGCTAAACTACCTTGGATTTAGAAAAACTAATTATTCCACTTGAAAGCATACTCCTGGAAGGTGACCACACTGAGATTGTACCCACGTAAGGCTTCCTCACCACTTACCCACTTTTATATCCTTAGTCCTTACCTTGATATAATGACAACTCACTTCCATGAAAAAAACATCCAAGAATTTCAGGTTAGAAGGAAATTTCATTTAATGCAGCAAACATTAAATGCAGTAAAATACTTTCAAACACTTTATGATTGGCAAAGGCCTCAAGCTCTTAAGAGCTTGTATGCAAGTGTTCTGGGCTTCAGAAAGGAGGACTAAGTTCCAGGTGGGGAAGGGGTCTTGGCCAAGGTCATACAGAAGGTGACAAGCAAGAAGTGGGACTTAATCCCAGGGTTTCTCAAATTACATCACATATGTGAAATAATGAACACAGCAAGACAAAGGAGTAAGTAAAAATGAAAGATGTAAGGCTTGTGTGGAGAAAACATGGGCTCATAAGGTCTGAGACTGGCCTAACAGAGGCTACCAATTATCTTCAACATCAGTCATCCCTCAGCGTGACAGTCATAGGCAAGCCGGAGGCCAGGTGTGGGAGCCCTGTCTGCGTGCAGTGGGAGGGCTTTCCTTGTCTGCACAACTGGAAAACAGATGGGATCGTCTGGGATGTTCCTAGTTAGGAGATCTTCATACACTGATGGATAGATCTCTTAGCTCCTCATATATATATATATATATATATATATATATATATATACACATATATACATATATAATATATTATATATAATATAATATAATATATATATTGTGTGTGTGTGTGTATGTGTTTCAAAGTTAGGTCACTTGTTTCTACTGTTTGCAAAGGACATTTAAATAGTTAAAATTCAAACTGATAACTACTTTCTATGATAAAGATATGAGTTGGTTAATGAAAGATTTGCGATCGCGACTTTAAAAACTGGGCTATAAAGTAAAATGCTTTCATTATTAACATTTCTGTTTGAGTAGTCTTTACCTGAACAGTAGTTAAATCTTTACATAAGATCACAATTATATTGAATAACAATTTCTTCAACTCAAAGTCTTCATAGGAATTAGAAAGCTTAAGACCTTTTACCAAAGGGTTTTGACTTTTAACTGTGAGAGAAAAAAAGAGAACAAAATGAAAGCTAAACTTATAAATAAAGACTCATCAAGAGCTTACAAAATGCTTGAGATTGTGCGATTATTACCTTCATTAAACGTTGCAAACAGTATCAAATCCCTGGTAAAGCCGCATTCCTGTTACAGACGGACACAACAAGCAGAAAGGAGAGCGGTTAGAGCAGGAACTGAGCTGCAGGGGCCCACATCTGCCTGCTATACTCAACGACTGCTACGTAATTTCCCTACGGTAATTCATTCGAATCTGTAACACTAATACTAATGAATAAATGCAGCATTGCATGGTGAGGCAACTCTAATTTACTGAACTAACTTGCTTCTGAAGTGTCTAAGAAGCTTTTACACCAGTCTGTGACTATCTGACGTGGCATTTGAAGGCCAGACACCAGCACAATTACTTCTGCGATTCACTGTCTGCACCTTTAAATGATACCACAGGGAGGAAAGTCCAGTTCGTTCTGGGAACTATTCCTTCTTTATCCCAAAGGACAGTCAGGAGACTGCACAAACAGCGTGACTTACCACAAAAAGTCCTGAGGAATTATCAGAGCTGCAAATACCTCAGCACAAGGAACTCACTCCTGACAGAGTCACGCAATTGGACTTCGTGTAGTAAGGAAAGTACACAGGGGATTAAAACTGCACTTATGGATAATTTTCCTACTTCTTCAGGGTTCACTCTGAAACTGTAAGAATGTTATTGCCCAGATTTATGCTCATGGAATTAATTACAGGAACATTCACAGTGACTGAACTGAGAACTTGCTGACTGGCCATAGTCAGACAGTAAAACATTAGGGTCTACATACACATGGCAGATGTAACTAGGTGCTCTGTTGGACTATGTATACATTTTTGTAGTATAAATTCCATGACATTTTTATGTGAACCTCTTGATATACATTGACTTCATAGCGAGTCCTTTGAAACCCAACATAGAAAGTAATATGGCGGATGTGTGTATGTTGCTGCAAAATCTCTCTCTGTGATCCCAGTCAATGATTTGTTCACTATAATGTACAGGGCGGGGCTGAAGAGTTAAGAGTGTGTGCTCCTCTTACAGATCACCTGACTGAAGCTTCCAGAACCCTCTTCAGGTGGATCACAACTATCCGGGATTCCTACTCCAGGTGTTTCAAAACACTTCCACCTCTATGAGCAACTACACTCACAGAGACAAGCCCACACTTAGACAGACACACAAACATGCAATTAAAAATATTAAAATAAGTCTTTTAAATATAGAGCAGATTAGCTTTTGATATAGCTGGGTAGTTATGATAAAACAAATCTTTGAGCAAAAAGATAAAAAGTAGCAATCTTGGGTCTATTCTCTTGCAACCTGAGTGGAACTCTGAAACACAGTTTGCTCCAATACTGAGGGGACCTACAGGTGAGTGAACAGCCACTCTAGGAGTTCCACAGTGAGACAAAACCCCGGACCCTCCCCCAACTATCTTGGCTTTTCTAGACAGTCAGCGGGGAGATTCCTGTGGGTAGGTACCCCCAAAATCCAACCCCATCCAGTGGCCCCTCCAAGCTACTAACCCCACCCCATCTAAGAGCTGAGAGCTTGCTACAATACTTAGGGGACCAAGAGAGAGCACCAAGAGAGTGAACCAGGAGAGAAGACCAAGAGAACAGGCCTATAGAGACCTCAGAGGCCTTCTGAGACAGATATGGACAGTACAGAGCAGACCAAGAAAAATCCCGAAACTCTCAGACAGCCACTGTAAGGATTGGAACAAGACCCAAGAATTGGACCAAGATGCAATTTGAAAAAAGAGGTGGGTAGGTGCCAATGCAAGATTTCCTCCAACAACCTAAAAACCAACATGGTAACACCAGAAAGAACCCAGCAGTCACACAAAAGGAAGACTTGATCATCCTAACCCAGAAGAAGAAGAAGAAAACAACTTTAAACATAACTTTATGAAAATGATGAAGACCTTTAAAGAGGAAATGAAAAACTCTCTTAAAGAAATGGAGGAAAAGATGAACAAAAAATTGGAAGAAATTAATAAATTCCTCAAAAAAAAACCCCAAGAAAAATCAATAAAAAACAAACAGGTGAAGCAAACAGTTCAAGACTTGAAGACTGAAATAGAGGAAATAAAGAAAACACAAACCGAGGGGATTCTGGATATGGAAATCTGTGTAAACAAACAGGAACTACAGAGACAACTATAACCAACAGAATACAAGAGATAGAAGAATGAATCTCAGGTGCTGAAGATACTATACAGGAAATAGACTCATCGATCAAAGAAATAATTAAGTCTAATAAAATCTTCAAATCTGGGACATCATAAAAAGACCAAACCTAAGAATAATAGGGGTAGAAGAACTCCAGCTCAAAGGCACAAAAAATATATTCAACAAAATCATAGAAGAAAATTTTCCCAACCTAAAGAAGGGTATCCCTATGAAGGTACAAGAAGCTTACAAAGCACCATATAGACTGATCAAAAAAAATTCCCTCACCATATAATAATCAAAACACAAAACATACAGAATAAAGAAAGAATATTAAGAGCTGCAAAGGAGAAAGGTCAAGTAACATACAAAGGTAAACCTATCAGAATTACACCCAACTTCTCAATGGAAACCATGAATGCCAGAAGGTCCTGGACAGACATGCAGACACTATCAGTCCATGGATGCAAGCTCAGACTACTATACCCAGCAAAGCTTTCAATTACCATCGATGGAAAGATCAAGATATTCCAAGATAAAAAGAGATTTAAACAATACGTATCCACAAACCAGCCCTACAGAAAGTACTAGAAGGAAAACCCCAACCAAAGGAAGCTAACTGTACCCACAAAAATACAGGCGATTGATAATCCCCCACCAGCATAACTCAAAGAAGGGAAACACATACACACTACAACAGAAAAATAACCAGAATTAACAACCACTGGTCGTTAATATCGTTTAATATCATTGCACTCAATTCACCTATAAAAAGACACAGGCTAAGAAAATGGATACAAGAACAGGATTCAGTCTTCTTCTGTATACAAGAAACACACCTCAACCTAAAAGACAGACACTACCTCAGAGTAAAGGGTTGGGAAAAGGTTTTCCAATCAAATGGACCTAAGAATCAAGTGGTTATAGCTATCCTAATAGCTAACAAAATAGACTTCAAATCAAAATCAATCAGAAGAGATGGAGAAGGACACTTTATACTCATAACAGGAACAATCCATCAAGATGTAGTCTCAGTCCTGAACATCTGTGCCCCAATACAAGAGCACGGACATATATAAAAGAAACATTATTAAAACTTAAATCACACATCAAACTCCACACACTAATAGTAGGAGATTTCAACACTCCTCCTTTGACAATGAACAGGTCAAACAGACAGAAACTTAACAGAGAAGTAAGAGAACTAATAGATGTCATGAATCAAATGGACCTAACAGACATCTATAGAACATTCCACCCAAACACAAAAGAATATACCTTCTTCTCAGCACCTCATGGAAACCTCTCTAAAATTGATCACATACTTGGTAACAAAGCAAACCTCCACAGATACAAAAAAAAAATTGGAGTAACCACCTGTGTCTTATCAGATCACTATGGAGTAAAGTCAGAATTTAACAACAATACTACCCTCAGTGAACTTCTGAACCACCCCTGGATCAAAGAAGAAATAAAGAAATTAAAGACTTCCTTGAATTCAACGAAAATGAAGGCACAATGTATCCAATCCTATGGGACACTATGAAAGCAGTGCTAAGAGGAAATTCACAGCACTAAGTGCCCATATAAAGAAAAAGGAGAAAGCTCACATTAGTGACAACAGCACACCTGAAAGCTCTAGAACAAAAAGCAGATTCACCCAGGAGCAATAGAAGATGGGAAATAATCAAATTAAGGGCTGAAATTAACAAAATAGAAACAAAGAAAACAATACAAAGAATCAATGAAACAAAGAGCTGGATCTTTGAGAAAATCCACAAGATAGACAAACCCTTATCCAATCTAATCAAAAGGCAGAGAGAAAACATCCAAATTAACAAAATCAGAAAAAAAGGAGGACATAGCAACAGACACTGAGGAAATTCAGAGAATCATTAGATCATACTTCAAAACCCTTACTGCACAAAATCAAAAAATGAAAAAGAAATGGACAATTTTTTAGATAAGTACCATATACCCAAATTAAATCAAGACCAGGTGAAGAATTTAAATAGACATATAAACTGCAAGGATATAGAAGCTGTCTTCAAAAACCTCCCAACCAAAAAAGCCCAGGGCCAGATGGTTTCAGTGCAGAATTCTACCAGAACTTCCAAGAAAAGCTAATACCTATACTCCTCAAAGTGTTCCACATAATAGAAACAGAAGGAACATTGCCAAACTCTTTTTATGAGGCTACAGCTACCCTGATACAAAAACTACACAAAGACTCAACCAAGAAAGAGAATTACAGACCACTCTCACTCATGAACATGATGTAAAAATACTCAAAAAAAAAATACCAGCAAACTGAATCCAAGAACACATCAAAAAAATCATCTACCATGATCAAGTCGGCTTCATCCCAGAGATGCAGGGCAGGTTCAACATACAAAAATCTATTAATGTAATCCATCATATAATAAACTGGAAGAAAAAACATATGATTATTTCATTAGATGCTGAACAAGCATTTGAAAAAAAATCCAACACTCCTTTATGATAAAGGTCTTGAAGAGATCAGAGATACAAGGAACATATCTCAACATAATAAAAGCAATATACAGCAAACCAACAACCAACACCAAATTAAATGGAGAGAAACTCAAACCGTTTCCACTAAAATCAGAAACAAGGCAAGGCTGTCCACTCTCCCCATATCTCTTCAACATAGTTCTTGAAGTTTTAGTTATAGCAATAAGACAACAAAAGGAGATCAAGGGGATTCAAATTGGAAAGGAAGAAGTCAAACTTTCGCTATTTGCAGATGATATGACAGTATATATAAGTGACCCCAAAAACTCTACCAGGGAACTCCTACAGCTGATAGATACCTTCAGTGAAGGATACAAGATCAACTCAAAAAAAAAATCAATAGCCCTTCTATACACAAAATGATAAAGAAGCTGAGAGGAAAATCCGAGAAACATCAACTTTCACAATAGACAGAAATAACATAAAATATCTTGGGGTAACACTAACCAAAGAAGTGAAAGACCTATTTGACAAGAACTTTAAGTCTTTGAAGAAAGAAACTGAAGAAGATACCAGAAAATGGAAAGATCTCCCATGTTCTTGGATAGTAAACACAGTAAAAATGACAATCCTACCAAAGCAATCTATAGATTCAATGCAATCACCATCAAAATTCCAACACAATTCTTTACAGACCTTGAAAGAATAACTAACTTCGTATGGGAAAACAAAACAAAACAAAAACCCAGGATAGCCAAAACAATCCTGCACAATAAAGGAACTTCTGGAGACATTACCATCCCTGACATCAAACTCTATTACAAAGCTACAGTAATGAAAATAGCTTGGTATTGGCATAAAAACAGAGAGGTTGACCGATGGAATAGAATTGAAGACCCGGACATTAATCTACACACCTATGAACATCTGATTTTTGACAAAGAAGCTAAAAATATACAATAGAAAAAAGAAAGTATCTTCAACAAATGGTGCTGGCATAACTGGATGTCAACATGCAGAAGAATAAAAATAGATACATATCTATCGACACACACAAAACTCAAGTCCAAATAAATTAAAGACCTCAATATAAGTCTGACTACACTGAACCTGATAGAAGACAAAGTGGGAATTAGTCTTCAATGCATGGGTACAGGAGACCACTTCCTAAATATAACCCCAGTAGCACAGACACTGACAGCAACAATAAATAATTGGGACCTCCTGAAACTGAGACGCTTCTGTAAAGCAAAGGACACAGTCAATAAGACAAAAAGGCAGCCTACAGAATGGGAAAATATCTTCACCAACCCCACAGCAAACAAAGAACTGATCTCCAAAATATATTAAGAACTCAAGAAATTAGACATTAAAATTCTAAATAACACAATTAAAAAAAATAGGGTACATAACTAAATAGAGAATTCTCAACAGACGACTCTCAAATGGCCAAAAGATACTTGAGGAAATGCTCAACATCCTTAGCCATCAGGGAAATACACATCAAAACAACTCTGAGATACCTAATCTTACACCTGTCAGAATGGTTAAGATCAAAAACACCAATGATAGCCTATGCTGGAAAGGATGTGGAGTAAGAGCAACACTGATCCCTTGCTGGTGGGAGTGCAAACTTGTACAACCCCTTTGGAAATCAGTATGGTGGTTTCTCAGAAAATTGGGAATCAACCTACCCCAGGATTAAGCAATGCCACTATTGAGCATATACCCAAAAGATGCTCAATCATACTACAAAAGCATTTGTTCAATTATGTTCACAGCAGCACTATTTTTAATAGTCAGAACCTGGTAATAACCTAGATGCCCCTCAACTGAAGACTGGATAAAGAAAATGTGGCACATTTACACACTAGAGTACTTCTCAGCAGTAAAAAACAATGACATCTTGAAGTTTGCATGCAAATGGATGGAATTAGAAAACACTATCCTAAGTGAGGTAACCCAGACCCAAAAAATGAATATGGTATGTACTCACTCATAAGTAGATACTAGCTAAAAACAAAGGACACTGAACCTATAGTTCATGATCCTAGAGAAGCTAAGTAATACGATGACCCCTAAGAAAAACCTATATAGATACACCTGGAAAATGGAAACAAACAAGGTCACCTGACAAAATTGGGAGCATGGGGGTGGCGGGGAGAAGGGAGGGTAGAAGGGGAACAGGAGAGGAGAAGGGAAGGGTTTAGGAGAACTTGAGGGAATGGGATAGTTGAGATGGAGGAAGGACAGAGATGAGAGCAAGAAAAGAGATATCTTGATTGAGCGAGCCATTATAGGGTTAGCAGAAACCTGGCTCTAGTGAAATTTCCAGGAAACTACAAGGATGACCCCAGCTAGGACCCTAAGCACTAGAGTAAGGGGGCCCAATCTTGACTCGCCCTGTAGTCAGACTGATGAATATCTTAAATATCACCATACAGTGACTGATGAAAACAGAGGCAGAGACCCACATTGGAGCACTGGACTGAGCTCCCAAAATCCAGTTGAATAGTGGGAGGAATGAGAATATAAGTAAAGAGGTCAAGACCATGAAGGGTTCACCCACTGAAACAGTCTACCTGAGCTAATGGAAGTTCACCAATTCCAGCCGGACTGGGAAGGAATAAGCGTCCCTCTGAATGTGGTTGATAGCTGCATGGCTGGGGCAGACTGAGGGGCCACTGGCAGTGGCACCAGGATTTATCTCTATTGCATGTACTGACTTTTTGGGATCCTATTCTCTTTGTATGTACACCTTGCTCAGTCTAGATACAGTATGGAGGGCCTTAGACCTTCCACAAAGCAATGTGCCTTACCCTCTCTGAGGATTGGATGGGGGTGGGTGGTACAGTGTGTGGAGGGAATGGGAGGAGGAGAAGGAATGGGAACTTGGATTGGTGTATTTTAAAAATCTAATAAATTAAAAAGAAATAAAAATAAATAAAAACAAAAAAGTAGCAATCTTTTGGCCGAGAGAGAGTAGACACCGGGAGAAAGTTGGAACTTTGACAAAGACTGAAGAATAATTCACTGTGTAAATTCCATATCAAGTCCTTTTAAAACTAATTTTTAGCCTGGCAGCAATTCCCATTCTAGACCTTGTGGGACCCTAAACTCAAAGATAAGCCTGTAGTTCACATGGGCCAATGAATCAGAGAACTGAGGCAACCACAGCCACTAGAACGAAAGGCAGTCTCCTAAAGGAGAAAGCCAGGAGGGGAACTCAAATACACATACAAACGCTGCACCTGTCTCTGATTACTGCCTGAGCTGTCCAAATACCGAGAATTCTACACACCATAGCTATGGCTAGAGGAACCACACTGGGGATTGATGAATCTCAGTTGGATACATCACAGTTGGAACACATAGATGGATGAATGCACACAAGTCCAATGTCCACAATGACCACAGTGACAAGTGCTCTCCAGAGGCCTAGGTTAGAATCCACAATAAAGACACTCATAATCTTTGGGAACACAGGAATGCTGCAGAAAAGCAGAGAGAGTACAAAGGAATCAAAAAGGTCTAGGGCTATAGATTATGAAAGAACCCTTGTCTACTATAAAGAAAGCCCTAGATTTGATCTCCAGAACTGAAGTAAAAACACAAGAAAGCATGACCAGGGCAATGGCTGTGACAGCAAAAGTCAGCTAATTTAAATATATGGACCAATGCAATCATCCAATCTGAGGATGAAAGAGAAAAATTGTTGAAAACAGTGACCAGAAGTCTATACCCATATGAGACAATGTAAAAATAATCAAATGTACAAGTAATTGGAATGCTGGAACAAGAGGGGAGAGAGAATGAACTAAACTAATGATGAAAATAATGGCCCAAATTTGATCAAATTTGGTGAAAAATTACATATGTAGGGAACTCTATATAAAGAATAAACACAAAAGGGACCATGCCTTGGCCCACTGTAGTAGAACTGCCTAATACCAAAAATAAAGGGGAAAGATCTTGAGAACAGAATTTAAAAGACACTTTTCATATCAGGAAGGAGGAATTTAAATGACAAGTACTTACAGGAACAGTCGAGAGCAGAAGACAGAGGAACATTAGTTCAAGTGCTAATTGGGATTCTTTTTCAACCGAGGAGTTCATATTCAATGAACAAAAATTTCAAGAATTAAGGTGGACTTTAGATATTTTTAGATAAAAGAAACCCTAAAGACTTTGTTGAGAGCACACAGCACATTAGTGCCACATGAAATAATCAACGAAGTCCTTTTATTGAAAAAGAAATGAAGCTAGATGGACTACCAGAAAGAAAGAATGTGTAAGTGGATGCCAGACTTGCGCGGGGACGCACCAGAATGGCAGTGTGGAAGAGCGGTGGTGCCGCCCTGACACTAAAACACGACTGTGTACCGCAATAAAACACATCAGCCCTAAAACACAGCTTACACTACCCTTACCACTTTCCCCATTAAAGAGAATGCAATCCGATGCATACTTACAATCATTGGTGCTCCAGGGTTCTGAGCTATAATTGTAGTGATAACTAATATATCATTTCTAAGCTGACGGTCGTAATGACTATGGCCTCTCATAAACAGATTTTTAAATACTTCCTTCAAAGCCCTGGAAAATAAAAATATTAAAAATGATATTGTTATAGGCAGAATGTTTGTGCTTTTTTCAAAATTCATTTGTTGAAATCCTGCCTTGCATGAAGTTTTGGGAAGGTGGGTTTAAGAGAAGCATTTAGACCAACAAGGCAGAGTCATAAAGGAGTCACTGTGCTCAGACAGGACCGCAGGGGGCTCTCCTGCGGCTTCACTCCCTGGGAGATGAGCTGTCAGCACCCTCCGATCTGGAAGAGTGCCTTTACCAGAACTGCCAGGCTGGAGCCCTCAGTCCCTAGCCTCTAACACCGTTTATAAAGTACAGCTCTCTGACACTTCTTTAAGGGAAGCTCAACTGAGGCACATTCTATGGGAATACTTATGTCTTTACCAACAAAATCTTACTCTTAATTTTAGACCTTTGACCAAAGTGGTCCTCATTTTTTTTAACCCTTTCCAACCTGCCTCTGATTCACGACAGTGTACCAGATAAGAACCCACTAATCTAACCACCCACAATGTACATGGGACTGTGTTACAAGATTTAACCATGTCATGCCAAAGCCACTCGAAGCTGTTCTGTTCTTCGGCTAAAGACCTCTGTCAGCTGGCTTCCCAGGGCTCTGATGGCCCGGCTCTTGTTCTTCCTGCAGCCTCGGCTCCTATCAGCCTGCCTATCTCTTCTGTTCTTGTACTAAACTTCTTGCAGGTTTCATTTTTTAAATTTTTTCTGAAACTGATTTTTACTTCTCTTTTCCTGTGTGAGATGCTCTCTGCAGGAGACTGTACCTGTCTCCTACCTGCTGAGATACTGCTGGGGTTAATGAGAACGAGGAATATAAAACACTCCCTCAACTCCAGGGCAGGTGCCTTCTGTAGTGGACAGTCACTGGTTTGTCTCTTGCGGCCCATGTGCAGCTTCTTTTGCAAGAACACAGCCCTTATTTTTCTTTCTTTTTTTTTTTTAAAGATTTATTTATTTATTTATTTATTTATTTATTTATACAGTATCCTGCCCATAGGCACCAGATTTCATTATAGGTGGTTGTGAGCCACCATGTGGTTGCTGGGAATTGAACTCAGGACCTCTGGAAGAGCAGTCAGTGCTCTTAACCGCTGAGCCATCTCTCCAGCCCCACAACCCGTATTTTTCATTTAGGCATTTGCTCTCCCCAGCTTGTGGCTCTACAGCAGCGGTTCTCAACTTCCTAACTTCCTTTAATACAGTTCCTCACGGTGTGGTAACCCCCAACCATAAGATTATCTTAATTGCTAATTCGTAACTGCAATTTTGCTACTGTTATGAATCACAAGGTAAATACATGATATGCGTTGCTGGTGGAAGGGTTGCCTCGCCCCAAAGGGCTGTGAGCAGGACTGAGAGCCGCTCTTCTACCAGGGTGAAGGCAGAAGAGTGAGGACAGCACCAACAGACAGGGAAGCTCTAGGTCCTCACATTTCAGAACTCTCAGTAACTAGGCTCATGAAATCAGCTTATTCTTTGTTTTCTAATTGCATCCTCATCAGTTGGTGTTCTAGTTTCTTCTCTGTTGCTGTGGTAAATCACCAACCAAGAGCAACTTACAGGAGGAAAGGAGCTATTTGTCTTTTGCATCCAAGTCATAGCTCATCACTGAGGGGAAGGCAACGCAAGAGCTCGAGCAGGAACCGATGGCAAAATCCATGGAGGAACAGTGCTAGCTGGCTCCCCCATAGACTCAGGCTTAACTGGCTGTATTGTATGCTCTAGACACACAGTCCAGGGAATGGTGCTGCCCACAGTGGGCTGGGCCATCTCAGATCAGTTCCAATCCCTCAATGGTGATTTCCTCCTCAGTACTTACAGACTGTGCCAAGTTAACCCTTAAAGATAAATAGGACAGTAGGGCTCGGTCTGGGGTCACAAGAACAAAAACATCTTCATCCATCTTATTCTGCAAAAATCTCTTTCATTATGGTTATTATACTCTTTTTAATTGCTTATGTACTTGTTTTTCTCTGTAAATATAAGAGGTTCATGAAATGTTCTAGTTTATTTTTTATTTAAAATTCTGTTTTATTGGTTGGTATGTAAAAACAAAAATAAACATACAAAATTATTTTAGATTTATTTATTATATATATGTCTATGCCCTACATGTATGTGTGATGCCCATGGAGGTCACAAGAGGGAACTGGATCCCCTGGGACTGGAGTTAGGAGTAGTTGGGAGCTGCCATGTGGGTGCTGGGAATCAAGTCCTGTTGAAGAACTTCACTGCTGAGCCAGCTCTTCAACTCTTCTATTTTATTTGAGTTTTTGAGATGGGGTCTCACTGTGTAGCTGTTTAGCCTGCAGCTCATTCCTGAACTCACAGAGCTCTGTCTTCCTCTGCCTCCCAAGTTCTGGGGTTAAAGGTGTCGCTAGCACACCTTTAGTTATATTTTTATGATCTCAGACTGACCATAGCAAATGGATAATAACCATTTATTGAATATGAATAATTCAGCAACTTGAAAACTTACATTCAATTGACAATTTAATTATAGAACTAGAAATGTGGTAAGTACTAATCAGAACTCTAATGAATAAATAGTTATAACATTCTAATTTTACAGCTGGGTGGTGGTGGCGCATGCCTTTAATCCCAGCACTCAGAGACAGAGGCAGGCAGATATCTGTTTGAGTTTGAGGCCAGCCTGGTCTACAAGAGATAGTTCCAGGACAGGCTACACAGAAATACTGTCTCGAAAAAAGCCAAAAAAAAATTCTAAGTTTACTTTATCCATCTGTAAGGGCACAATTTAACTTCATAGTTCATACTTTGAGAGCACCCTACTCAACAACTGTGGCTTCTCCAGGGCATGGCAGTACACACTTACATGTAATCCCAGTCCTGGGGAAGAAGAAGAGGGAGAGCATCCTCACTCAACTATACTGCGAGTTCTAGGCCAGCTCTCTACGTAAGACATAGTTCAGAATTCACAAAAGAACAAAAAGTGTAGCTTCTTCTATTTCTGCAATGGCATGAGACTCAGCTATCAGATGAATCAAAAGTTCAATCGAACCCAGATTCAAAGTTTAGTTATCTATCACTGGCTATGGTTCAAGGCAAATGACATTCCTATCTACCCACATATACTTACAGCAAGCATTCCAAATTACTAAGCTGTTGTATAATTTCCTCTTTTGAAGATTTTTCCAACAAATTCCAAAGTATTTCTGATGAACGAAATAGAAGCTGTCCTGAAGGATCTGGGTCATTGAGGTGAGCACAGATTCTGCCGGCGGCTTGGGCTTTCACCATTAAACTGCAATTAGCTTCTGAAAATGAAATTTAACAAACTATTTATATTGCATCGTCTTTTAGTGAAAAAGAAAGCTAGCAGACAATGGAATGTTTAAATTCAGCAACACCATACACACCGGAAGTCGAGAGATGCTGGAGAACTTTAAGAACCCAAAGCTTCTCAACAAGATGGTTTTCGATCAGGAACACGGACTGGACCATTGCTTTTGCCAGTCCTCCGACTTCAGCCATCTTAACCTTGTACGATGAGCTCACCTGCTGGTAGCCTAACACCACAACAGGGACAGCTGTTTCACAATATGATCATTTACTATAGAAACAATGTAAAAAACGTTTGAAAGAACACACACTGCATCTAAAACGTGGACAGTATAAGGAATAGAAAAGTTGCCTATAAAAGGCTAGACAGTATATATTTAATCTCTGCAGGTTACTACTGTATGTGTCTCAACTATCTAGCTCTAGATTTGTAGCATGATACAATAGCAAGAATAAAGCCATGAATAAAATGAAAAAAAGGGACATGGTTTTGTCCAATAATCTTTAATTTGCAATATGCCAGTTTTGCCCTGGGCAGGGGAAGTCCATAGTCTTTTGTCCTTGAAATAAACGCACAGATTTTGTAATACATCTTAAATTCTAAAAACCAAAAACCAAGATTGTGTCAGTAAGTAATAATTTTCTATAAAGGCAAACAGTATGGTTCCAAATACTTTCCATTTTCACTATATGTGACAATGAACTGCTTCACTGCTTTCAAGAGATAAGAATTACATCATATCAGCAGTAAGTAAGGGGGGAAGTAAATGACTGAATGCAGGGGGATTTTAGGGGAGCTGAACATGACTTACAAGAGTTTCCTTCTGCTGTAGGTCCTACGAGACACACTGTCACTTTTGCTCATTGCAAGGGTGCCTGCCTCACTGTTTGTAGCCACAGAGATTGAATGAATACCACAGTAAGGTGAAGCTGTTTTCCCTAAGTGGTCTCTCTTTCAACTCCCTGACATCGTGACTTTTGAAACCAACTAGATTCTTTAACAATGACATTGTTCTAGATATCTGTCAGTTTGTCCTAACTTTGTGGGTTTGGTCTCTGGGCCATAGACAAGGCCCTGTCCATTCCTGAGATGGATTATCTGGGGTGTGCCCTGTATGCTCACCGTGAGAGTTTAAACAGGCTGGCAAGACAGCTCACCAGGGAAGAGCGCTTGCTCTACAAGCATGAGAATTTGAATTTGAATCTATAACACAAAGGTGAGAAGTTTGGCACAGGCTGGGCATGGTGGAACATGCCTTCCGTTTCAGCACCCAGGAGGCAGAGGCAGGAAAAGCTCTGTGAGCTCTCTGCCAGTCTGGTCTACACAGATAGTGCCAGGTGAGCCAGGGGACATAGAGGCACTAGGTCTCAACAACAACAGCAACAACAAATAAACTTAAGAACAACAAAAACAAACACAAACACAAACACAAAAAAGCATGTTATGGTCACACCTGCCTGTGACTCTAGGGCTTGTGGGTAGAGTCTGTAAGGCTTCTGGGGCTTACAGGCTACCAGTTTAAGTCTAGGTTTAGTAAGAGACCCTGTCTCCAAGGATTAGGGAGTGACAGAGAAGGACTCCCAACATCCTCAGCTACCTACACACATATGTGAGCATATACCACACACACATATACCGTACACATATACAGTACACACACACGCTTAGATACATACAAAATCTAAAACATGAAAATACAAAGAAGAATAAAAATTGCTTATAATTTTACCATTTAAAGGTAATGTTAACATTTAATATATGTCTTGCTTATTATTTTTAATATATGAACATAATTTTCATTGCACATAGAATTCTATATTCTACTGTAACTCACTAACAAAATACTTTCCCAACTCATGATTTTAGTTGTCTAAGTCTTTCATATGGATGACCTGAAGTGCTTTACACTTGAGTATACACCGAGTTTACATGTCTATTCAAGGACATAGTAACAGCCAGTCTCACGGACCTAATTTCTGTCTCCTGGACTATATATATTTCCCAATCACTCTGCTGAGGACTTTCAAGCTCTGGTCCCAGCCATCCAGCCATGACCATGACTTGGAACCAACTAAGCAACACTTAGTAAGGGCATTGTCTTCAACTCCCAATTTCCAGGTTACACTCACTTCCCTGTACCTCAAAACTTCTTTGTCTTAATTCATGTACCCCGCCTCTCTCCCTCCCTCTCTCCTTCCCTTCTTTCTTTTCTTTCTTATTGGTTTTTCAAGACAGGGTTTCTCTGTGCACCAGCCCTAGCTGTTCCCTGGAACTAGCTCTTATAGATCAGGCTAGCCTCAAACTCATAGAGATCTGTCTCCCTCTGCCTCCTGAGTTTGGGGATTAAAGGTGTGCATCACCACTGCCTGTTTTTTCCTCTTCCTCTTCCTCCTCCTCCTCCTCTTCCTCCTCTCCTTCTCTTTCTTCTTAATAAAGTGGTTTTTTTTTTGTTTGGTTGGTTTGCTTGTTTTGAGACAGAGTTTAGCCCTGACTGTCCTGGAACTTGCTCTGTAGACCAGGCTGGCCTTGAACTCAAAGAGATCCACCTGCCTCTGCCTCCTGAGTGCTGGAATTAAATATGTGTGCCACTACATCTGGCTCCAAATTAAGTTTTAAGATATTTCTGTTTTATTTGAATTCTGTTTCTTTTGGTACATGTTTGTGGCAATGTGTGCCATGACCCATGTGTGCCAAGGCAAGTGTGTAGTGGTCAGAGGATGGCCTAAAGGAGTCAGTTCTTTCCTTCCACTAAGTAGGTCCTGAGGATTGAACTCAAGCTGCCAACCTTGGCAGCAGATGCCTTTACCCACCGCACCATCTTCCAATCCTGTTTTCTTTTCTTTAAGAGCTCTCTATTTTGCTGAATTAGTTCTAAGCTTGTGCTCTTAATTAAAACTTCTCATGTTCACTTTGAGGATTTTGCTTTTCCACTTCCAACTGAGGAACTTGCAGTTTATCTGCCTACAAGCTTCATTTCCACATCCTAAAGCTAACAACAAAAGTCAAACAACCACTTGATCTTGCTACCGGCTAGGCTGCTGGTTCCCCATCGTCTTGTTTGCTCCACCATTTCAATTCTAATCAAATTTGTATTTATGAGCAGCTTTGCTCCAAGTAACTGCTTCTGTTCTCAAGATCCTTTCAAATGGCTACGGGATCACCACTGTCAACAGATCTCACACATTAACCGCAGCTTTCTCGGTATGGCATTAGCTTCGTTTTGCCATCCATCATTACAGAAATTTCTTCAGTACTGATATCAAGACCACCTTTCTTCACGTTTCATTCATTAATTCATTTCATTCATTCATGGGTGTCTTTTGGTTTCTTTCTCTGTAAACACATATAGACTTCTTACTTTTGAACACTTCCTTCAGAGTGAGTATTTTTATAGAAGAGGCGACACCAATTATTTTGCTTCATGCTCTTTCAGATACACTGACAGGCTTATTCTACCCTAAAAATCTTCATGGGTCTTTGACATTATTTGTGACAACTGAAAGTTTTAAAAAATATTTTTTCACACCCATACGCTGTGGAGCTCATTCTGATAAGGGACTCCAGTGAGGATTTTGCATATTTTTTCTATGAAGGTATTTCACTATAGTGTTCTGGTGCGGGAGAATTGTCTGTATTCTGTCAATCATGTTTTAAATAAAACGCTGATTGGCCAGGCAGGAGGTGTAGGCGGGAAAACCAGACAGGAAGTGGAAATGATGCAAGGAGAGCAGGAGAATTCTGGGGAGGAGGAAGTTGATTACTCCCACTCCTGTCCAGATCACCGAAGCAGCAGGTTGTGAGCAGCCCCACTGAAAAAGGTACTGAGCCATATGGCTAAAATAGATCAGAAAAATGGGTTAATCAAGATGTGAGAGTTAGCCAGTAAGAAGCCTGACCTAATGGGCCAATCAGCATTATAACTTATAGAGATCTCTTGTGTGGTTGATTTTCTCTGGGGCCTGCCGGCTGTGGGGTACCAGGCGGGGACAGAAAACACAAACAAGCCATCCCCCCTCATGTTACAGTGTTCTTTAAATTGAATCAAGATAACTAGAGCTGTTCCACACAATTATAGTAACACAAGTTCTCTACATTTGGCATTCTCCTGGGTCAGGAAAAGTCAGTCATGTGATAATGAACACTTCCCATGCTTGCTGCTCATGGATCCTTTCCAGTGTGAGTTCTCTCATGTTTGTGAAAGTTGCTGGGTTTAATGAAGGCTTTCCACATTGCTTATAACACTGAGTTTCTCTTTGAGCAGCGGAAGCTTTCAGCACAGTTCTTAAACAGAAAGGGTTATTTTTGTCTATGAACCTTTTAACAGATGCAAAGGGCCTTGAACCCCTCAGGCATTTTCCACATTGCCTACACAAACAGCTCTGACTCCAGTGTGAGTTCTTTCCGTGTTTGAAGCTATTTGTTGTGACAGTCACAACATTTAATCACAGTGTTTACAAACATAAGGCTTCTCTCCAATGTGAGTTCTTTCACACACTTGAAGGAAACATGGAGGGCTGAAGATTTTCTCAACATTGCTTACATGCATAATTCATGCATATCTCCACACAGAACTAGATAAACCACAGGCTCCCCTGGGCCTGACATTGCTTACACTCAGACTTTCACCCCTTATGTATTAGATACGAAGTGGAACAGTCAAAGGCTTTACCACACACTTTACATGTATGAGGTTTCTCTCCACTATGTGTTATCACGTGTCTCTGAATGCCTGGCAGGGTCATATAAGCTTTCCCCCTTTGCTTATCTCTGTAAGGTTTCTCACCATTCTGTGCCGTTTCATGCTTGGGGAAGCACAGCGATGGTAGGTAGCTCTTCTGTGTTCCTTACATTTGTTTACATGGTTGCTCTTCTTTCCTGACACTCATTAGGTCTAGTGTGTGAGCAGGCTCAGCTTTGGAGGGCAAATATGGAGATGAAAGGCAAGCTCTGCTTCTCTACAACACAGGCTTCTGATGGTTACACCAGAAGGCATATTCAGTTCAGAATAGAACCTAGGTCTGGCTCAGCATCTCTCCACATTGGTCACATAGTTCTATGTTCATAATCTCCCTATCATTGGCCTTTAGGTTTTCCATGAGGTTTTTGTACTTCTCTCTAATGTTCTGGCTTATTCATTTGTCTTTTTCCAGGTTTCTGGTGTCCCAGGTCCTCTCCATGGCCATTCTCTCCTGCAGTCTGGCCAGGTAACAGTGCAACAGAGACAAGCAGCCTGTGATCTCAGCAGCACACGTGGATCTCAGTGATGGCAAAACCAGACAAACCTCTTCCGCTTTTGAACGTTTCTAGACGTCAACGTTTCCCTTACTTCTTTCAAGCATGCTTTCCAGCTCTCAGTATGAACCCTCACCACAGTGTTCCTCTTGCTCCCTTGCTGGTCACATGATTTATTTCCTGACTAGCTAATTCAGTCCCTGACAACTTCAGTTTTCCTTTCCACTCAGTGAATTTCAAGTCTGTTTTTCTGATCTCTGACGATTTTAGTATTCAATGTCTACCATCCACTAAATTCTCCAATCTGTCTACCTAACTGAGACTTCATAATGTATATTCAATACTCTCCTTGTTTATTTCACTAACTCAGAGGTCTTGTTATGTTCTCCTTAGTCACATATTTTTACTACCACAGACTGACTTTTATCTATTTAAAAATATATAACTTCAAAATGTCATTCATTTATTCCCTCCCTTACCATATTGATTGAAAATTATATAATCAATGAAGATAAGAAATATGTCTTAAATAACATTATATCCTCACAATGCTAATGCTTGACAATCTACTCACCACTATATATTAAGATTGTCTAGCTACAACATACAGAGTTCTCCCCAAACACAATAGAGAATGGCACCAGTATTACTAATTTAACATCTACTTGAATGTATTAATATAGTTAAAATAATTTTATTTACAATGCTAAGAAATACTACCAATAACAAACTTAACTGGCTACAACTTTATCAACTGGGTCATAAATATTTACCATCAAGACAAAAATTTGATGTGAATCCCCAAACTAAAGCAAAAATACTTATACAACTTTTAAATGTAACTGAAGAAGTCAAAGTTACACAAAAATTTTATTTTTATGTGTTGAAAACATGAGCCCCTGTGTTTTCAAAGTTTATTGAAATATTATATGATGGATTTGTTTCCCAAAGACAAGCTATCACTGAAAGGCAAGCGAGAACGTACCAGGAATGTGCTTCTTTGGAGGCTCCGCATGATAGAAGTCAACGATGCATTTACAAATTTGTATCCTTAATTTAGAATTCGGTATTTTCATCAGTTCACCTGCCAGGAGGATAAAGGAGAGTGGTGGAATAACATAAGTTCATTTAAAAATGTAAGAAATAATAACAATGTTATACTAGTTATTTTAAAATCCCATCAGATATCCATACTGGGTCTTCTAATTACATGTGTGATCATGTGGAGCACATACAGTGTTCCACCATCACCCATCACTTCATAAGGGGTGTTTTCTGGGAAATTCCTTGTTAGGTGTTATTTGTATATGAATAACATATTGTATACTCACACAAACAAGACATTAATCAAGCACAAGAGAGAAAACAACTAAGATGCACAGTGAATGTAAGATGTAGCAGTGGCTGCTGACAGACAGTATACTGTTTGACAGTTAATTCAAAAATGGTAAGTAGAAAGCACATTTCTTTATCCAAATGATAAAATATAGTAAATACATAATGCAGGGACACAGTCACTTGTCACTTATCAAGTGTTATGCACTGCATACAACTGGACCGCTGTGTTTTCATGTATTTTCATATCACTGGCAATGGGGTGTTGCTTCGACTACCATCAATCACCACAAAAATGTGAATAATGAGTTGCTCTATGGAAAGCTATGCCTTCAATAGTTGATACAATTTTTTTGGCTCAATGATCATTTACAGGACCACCATCTTTTTTTCTTTTTCTTTCCTTTTCTTTTTTTAAAATATTTATTTATTTATTTATTTATTTATTTATTTATTTATTTATTTATTTTCAGGAACAAGGTTTCTCTGTAGCTTTGGAGCCTGTCCTGGAACTAGCTCTAGTAGACCAGGCTGGCCTCGAACTCACAGAGATCCACCTGCCTCTACCTCCCGAGTGCTGGGATTAAAGGCATGTGCCACCACCATTCTACCAGGACCACTATCTTACATATGTTCTACTATTGTATGAAATGAAGGGATATAGTTCATGACAGTCTGTGACCATATATGCATATGTACATACATGTCTACATAATACTTTGAATCTATCCTTACATATAGATTACATACATCTCAATCATGTCAGCCTGTCACTTCCAGAAAGAAGAGAATGATACTAATAACATAGGTACTGGAGCCAGACACCCAAGAGTAAATTATTAGTCTCGTTCTCTACCTCAAGTCATAAACCAGTGTTTCACAGTATTCTTTCCTCGGAATTCCTGTTAGCTTTGCTCTCAATTTGCTGGCAGACTGAAATAGAGGAACTTGGGGACATTCTTTGACTCAAAGGCAATAATTGTATGTCCAAGATTTCTGGTGAGGATGAAGGACACAGGGTTTCTTTTAAATGGCATCAGACTATTACTGAGTCTGATTTGGCTAATTTGTATTCATTCCTTTTTAGTCCAACAAGAATGTTCTCCAGGAGGGGTCTGCTCATTTCGGAGGGGAGGCAGAGGGAGGTGAGTCTCAGGGAAACTGTGGCTGGGATGGAATACATGTAAGACTAAGAGAGAATGTCCCCAGGAGAATCTGGAGCGTCTGCAGGACTCTGCAATGACCTTTGTCATCTGACCTATGCTGTGTGGTCGCCTAAGGACAACTAGAGTCAGCAGGACCAGCTTGAGGAGCAAACTGGAGAGCTCGATTCTCTGAGGATGAAAGAGTAAAGAATTCCATCAAGTCTGGGCTTTAGTTTGGGCCTACTGTAAAGTTTAGTTCAATTCCAGCAGGAGTGGCCAGAGCCTGAGGGAGCACAGAGACGGGGTGGAGCACTGGCCAGTGGGTAAGGGAGCACAGAGACGGGGTGGAGCACTGGCCAGTGGGTAAGGGAACACAGAGACGGGGTGGAGCACTGGCCAGTGGGTAAGGGAACACAGAGACGGGGTGGAGCACTGACCAGTGGGTAAGGGAACACAGAGACGGGGTGGAGCACTGGCCAGTGGGTAAGGGAACACAGAGACGGGGTGGAGCACTGGCCAGTGGGTAAGGGAGCACAGAGACGGGCTGGAGCACTGGCCACTGATCACTGCTGGTGGAGGGGCAGACTGACTTCTCAAGGACACATTCCAGTGAAAGAGCACACACTCACAAAATGGTCTCGATGGGCAAAAGTACACTACAAAATTGGGGGGTTAGATCTAGGAAGAGTTGGGTGAGGTATCAAAATATGTCATATGATCCTCTCAAAGAACTAAGAAAAAAAGGTCAACAAACCCATAACTAAACTATACATCAAATCAAACATGTACAAAGAAGTAAAAGCCTGCCTCAAACACCTCAGGAGAAAACAGTTCCAGAATCATCATTGAACACACCCTAGTAACTTTCAACTATAAACTAAGGGAAGAGCCTTGGGTGAAAGAGATGGTTAAGGGAACAGTGAAAGCAGACAAACCTATTTGCCCCGCATTGGTCCTGCCATTTTATAGTCCGCATCTAAGACATCTTAACTTACCCAGAAGAGCAAGTGAATTAGCAGTGTCTTCAGTATACGTTATTTCATCTGATACTTTCTTTTTCAAAAATGGCAAGCTTCAATGAGAACAAAGATGTCAGAATTACTAGTCAGTGGATTGATGCATCACTTACAATGGGTGATATCCATTTTCTAAAAAATAAAGCGATACTCTCTCCTGGCCGATTGTATTCTTTAGTGTGGAGCAGGGACAACACTCAGAAAGAAAACTGTATTTCTAACTAACCAACCAGAGAGAAAAACAAAACAAAACAAAAAAGCACTTCCAAAAGAATGAAGAGAGGCAAGTTGGGCGGTGGTGGCACATGCCTTTAATCCCAGTACTCGGGAGGCAGAGGCAGGTGAGTTTGAGGCCAGCCTGGTCTGCAAGAGCTAGTTCCAGGACAGGCTCCAAAGCTACAGAGAAACCCTGTCTTGAAAAATAAAAACACAAAAACAAAACAAAACAAAAAACCCAAACAAAACAAAACAAAAAAAACAAAAAACAAAAAAAAATTGAAGAGAGGCACAAGCCAATAAAGTAATTGTCCATCTCTGTTGATAAAACAGTTACGTATCATCTTTCTGAGGGCAAAGTCATAGCAAATTATAGTTATAATCACAGTTAGGAAGAGTCAACTAAAACTTAAACATATTTGATGTCTTTTCCTGAAGTTTGTAAAGCAGGATGCACCAGATTAATGGGTTGTTTCTTCCTGAAGGTCAGGGCCCCTCCTTATGAATTGGATTGGGAATTATTTACAAAAGAACAGAATGCTTTGGGGAACAAGGAATCCAACTTTAAAAATATTGATTCTATGAGACTTTCAATTCACAGTTACCATAATCAAAGTTATCTGAAAATACTTATTTATAAAACACAGAAGATCAAGTTTATGAATTGTGGGTCATTATTCTAAATTTCAAGGGACAGATGAAAGTTAATTCTTAAAATATAAACTGTTTGAATCTCTTGTGCTATTTGAAGTATAACATATTTATATAAATGACTCCCAGCTCGTGTCTTCCAAAAGCATTTACCCAGTAGTTAGAAAGAGACAATTCTGTAATTTCTATGGGGATTCATTCCTTTAGAATTAAATTAGAAAAAAATAACATTATTTATTATCTAGTCGACTGATAGACAGTTAAAGATCTCACACCTAAAACTCGAAATATCTTGTTCCATCTTCTCATTTTCTACCAAAGGAGATTCCTATAGGATAAAGAGTCGAGGCGTGGGAAGTCCAATTCAAAAGCTATACAGAAAACAAGAGGTGCTCCTGGTGCAATGAACAAGCATATTAGAGACCAAAGAGGAAAAACTTGATGTATTTTCAATTTCTTAAACTCCAAACTTTTCTTGAGAAGACAACCAAGTGAGGACTGGGTGTAGTGAAATGATAAGTATAGGTGGAAACTTGAAACGTAAAAACTTAGCGACGTGAGTAACCCCAAAGGGAGGGGAAGGAAGAGCGAGGTGAGAAGAGCCGCAGCATGGCATGCTGGGACACCGCACGGACCAAGGAGCAGCTCTGCCGAGCCGCGACACTGGAGGCCACGCTGGGAAAGGGCTGTCCAAAAACCAGTCACATGTCCACATGAAAACGTATAGGTAGTGCCTTGAAAGCACTAGAAGAAACACTTATTTCCTTATTTATTCAATCTCTATTTAAAAGGCCAGGTGTAAGCATTTGGGAAATTATTTTTCATTATTTTAGTATAATACCAAAATTGCTACAGAATTTTTTATTTGGCTTCGGCTAAATTTAAGACTTGGAATGTCCCTGTATATATACATAGTCCTACTAATAATATCACTTTTCTATTTAAAATATTAAGTTGGTAGATAGATTTAGAAGACAAAATCACCAAAATGACTCCTTTTCAATGGCTATTGAACCGCCTGTCTAGAGCAGCCACTGTGTGGCAGCAGAGAAGTACTATTCATGTGTTTGTGCTTCCAGTGCTGCTGCGGACACGGCAGTAGAGGAGGATAAGGAGGGCTAATTTTATAACTCTTACCTGTAGTTTATATTCCCATATACACATAAGACAAATTTTTCTCCCTCATTCAAAATTACAAGATCAAATGAAACCTGCCATAGAACTAAGTATATTTGTGAGAGTCAAATTTCCCGAAGAAAGAGAAAAAAGAAAACCAAACTGAAACTAAGTAATGCTAAATTTATGTAAAGATCCTCTCAAAAAACCACAATCCTTTACTTTCATCTGCTGCTTACCAATCACGTGCGGGTGACAACTTTAAGTATTTTACTCTTCAATATAATCTCTTCTGTAGCAATCTGAGACTGCAACATTTGAAATAATAACTGTCCAAATCCTGCCACCAATTTGTTTAAGTTTTGTTTTTAGTTCTATATTACAAACATGCACACACACACACACACACACACACACACAATTTTTTTCTCCAGACAGAGTTTCTCTGTGTAATGCTGGCTGTTCTGGAACTCACTCTGTAGAACAGACTGTTCTGGAACTCACAAAGATCTGCCTGCCTCGGCTTCCTGTGTGCTAGGATTAAAGGTGTGCACCACCACTGCCCAGATAAACTCTATATTATTGATACACTCTATATCCAATACCTTTGCAATACAAAATAAAATGCTATATACCTTTGTATATAGCAGTACAAAATAAAGTATATAGTATATAGCAGTACAAAATAAAGTTAAACAACTTACCCACACAGTTTTATAAGGTCGGATGCAGGTTCTACAAAGCAGGGCTGCTTTTCAATTTTTTCTGCGCACAGACCCAGGATTTTAAACACCTGTGCCAGATCCCTAAGTGGCTTCAATGTTTTGTTAAGAAATAAAATCATCATAGATTTATAAACACGTCTATAGGCCTTTCCCCCAGAAAGCTTATAAAATTCTATCTTGTTAAATGTGGTAAGCATTATTTTAATTATTACTTTGAAGTCTAAAGAGAAAAGTTTGTAACTATACTTTAGCAAAAGTTTGTAACTATACTTTAGCAACATTATTTTTGTCTTAGTAACCTTTATTTCAACTCAAAACACAAACAGATATAGCTCAAATCTTATTTTAATGTAGTACTTTATTTTGTTCAGGTGTGTGTGTGTGTGTGTGTGTGTGTGTGTGTGTGTGTGTGTGTGTGTTTCAAGGCAGGGCTTCTCTGTAGCATTGGGGCTTTCCTGGAACTTGCTCTTTAGATCTGACTGGCCTCGAACTCACAGAGATCCGCCTGCCTCTGCCTCCCAAATGCTGGGATTAAAGGTGTGCACCACCACTGCCCTCCCAGATGCATTTTTTCTAATTAGCATTAAATTGATTGAAATTGTATTTAAAACTCACATAAAAGCCAAATGTACCTCTTCTAGATCTTCAGATAAAAACATATTCTATTTTGCCTGTTTAAAAAGTATGATTACTACAAAACTAAATTTCCTTGATTTTGCTTGATATCTAAGAGATCATGGTGATTATGACTTCAGGATCTGGGTTGCATCCTATTTTCTCTCGCTTTGCTGTGAGCTTCTTGGGCAGGGTGGGAACACCTATTTTAACTTCTGTTATGTAGCAATCACCTCTGAATTAAAACATTCACTCCTATAGGAAGAAGCAGTTCATATGCCTTAGGAATTAAAAAAAAATCTTACAAGCTGGAATTTATGAGGCGCGGTAAATACAGGCTGCAAGGATGCAGCTTTGTGAATTCTCACTGTCATTAGTGATGGAGCATGCTTTTTAGTAAGGCAGCTTCCTTTGAGTCATCTGTGGTCTTGCAAGTAACCCCAATAAAGTCACTAAATTAGGCTTGGGTAGAACTGCTTATTTGGTTTGTCATCAGTGCTTCTTCTGAGTTAAATAGGTCTGTTCATGTCTCCCCAGGAAAAGTCAAACAGGAACACACAGAAGAGAGGATAAGTTGGGACAGAGAGATTGTATGGTCCCAGAAATGTGTGATGAAACATGCCCCTGTGGCTCATCAGTTTGAAGGCAATGTCCATGGAGGAAAACCCCAATATGGTACCTTCCTCTGTGTGGTAAGGAGTGGTGTGCTCCCTGTGGTAGTGTGGCTGCATGCTCCCTGAGATGTGTGCTAGGACTTGCAGCCACGTCTGAGCTGTCTCAGATGGAACACCTTAGGGTGGTGGGGTGGGAATCCAAATTTGGTCATCTTCTTTTATGCGGTATAGGAGTGAGGTGTCTCCTTGATGAGTGGGATCCCCTGAATGAGTAAGTAGGCGCTCTGACAACAGTTCACGGACTAGAGACTGCATGGCAGTCCACCAAGGGTAGCACAGGTGGTACAAGACGGTCAACAAGCTGTGCTGATCTTGGCATGACCACTGCTATATGTAATGACATGTGCAAATAAGGCAGACACAGCTGCTTAAAGAAAAGTGCTCATTTCTAGAGGAATTAGAATGGGAAGGGACACGAAACCATCGGCCTCCATGCTAGCCTCCGATTTGGTGGATAATTTCTACAGCACTCCTGCCAAGCAGCTAGAAATGATTGATTCAACCAAGAACCATAAGCCATGATGGAAGACACAGCATACGTCAGAGTGGTACTAGACAGCCTTTCCTGAGGTTCAGAAACTTAGGACTTGTGGGAAGAATCCAACAGTGATGAGGACAGGGACAAAGCAGAAGGGATGGAAGACACCCCTCAGGTCTGCTCGTTACGAGAAATGAAGGAAAAACCCAAGATCCAAGACACACATGGGGGTCCTTACCAATGGACAAGGAAGGACATGGTGGAAGTAACACAGGACATCCCTTGGATCTGACCTTTAATAGAGAAGAAGGGAGAATCCATGATTTAACATGTCTTAAGACTGGGCAGTGAGGAAGTGGGCATGGTTGACATGGTAGAAGACATCCCTCGGATCTGACCTTTAGCAGAGAAGGAAAATCCTATCACTCAACATATAGACAGAAGTCCTAATCATGGCTCAGTAGGAAGAATATGATAACCGTGTGCTCCTTAGCACCTGAACTGCTTGAATGAGTAGCGGCAGAGCCTGTCACTGGCTCACAAGGCTATGGGACACGGCAGTGGATGGTTCAGCCTGAGCACCCTGGCCATGGAGGAGCTAAGTAATACAACTTCCCTCTTGGAAAGAAAAGCAGCAGGATGAGGCAAGGCAAGGAAATCCAGCTCCTGACCGCTGACTCATGTGCCACCATCAGGGACACTTGGTGATTGCTGGCTCAAGTTCCCATGAATACCAGGAACTGGAAGATAATAGAGAGAGACTACTGAAGGAACTGAGTGTGAGAGCGGTGTTACTCAGTGACTAGTTCACCTGGCCAGGTAGACATGTGTGTGATAACTAATGTTTCTAAAAGCTTGATTTAGGAAGGACCACATGTGACTTTCCTGAGCCTTGTGGTGAATATAATCTTATTGATTATACACTCTTATAGAGATTATAAAAAGAGATGAAAGAAGGTAAAGCAGACAAAGGGTACAAGGTACACCGAGTGTACCTAGGTTTCTGTAAATCAAATGTTGCAAGACTTGTGTGCAGCCAGAGTTCCTAAGGAAAAATTGACAGAAGCTAAAATCTATGCTAGTAAACTTCCAGAAGGCTTTAAAATCTGAAAGAAGCTCATAGAAGGCATAATTGATAAAACAAGATGCAGGAGACTAGGCTTGTACTAGCGGATGTGAGCTCGGCTGTCAGGAAAGCTCAGGTGTCCCACGGTCCTCACACAGCTCTCTTCACCCTGGACAAAAGACTGCTCAAGACTGACGCACAGCCATGCGGGCAGAATTTGTCTTGTAAAACTATTTTAGAGTTCCCAATAATATTTAAAAATAACTATTATTTATAATTAAAACTTGGCTATTTCTCTGTTAGGAGACAATGTATATATGTCATTGTTTCACGAATGTCCTCACTAAATGTACCATGTTGTGGATGAAAAAATTCTACACTGGTGGGAAAAAAAAAGTCTAAGCTTGTTCGAGGAGGCAGAAAATTATGCCTCGAGATTAAACGGTGTACCGTTCTCTCCCGCAAACAGTGTGCTGGGAGTAAAAGTCGTTTGCCTACGCTGAGCCCTACCTACACCCAGGGCCGGCTTGAGAAAGAGGCACATCAGCAGCTGCAGCCACAGTTTCGGCCTGGAGCCTGCAGACCCGGGGAACCCGCTTGAGCAGCAGGAGAAGCGGACCTGAACACATCCTGCTCCTCCGTGACTTCACATGGGAGGCCTCTTAGGAATGGATGTGGGATGGGGGGAAGGTCGGGAGAGTTTGAGGAGGGGAGGGAGGGGAAACTGAGATTGGTATGTAAAATTTTAAAAAGATTTTTTTCAAAAAATAAATAAACATATATTTATGTACATATATGGTAAATTTTAAGTCAAAAAATTTTACATATCAGAATGCATTTGAATAATTACAAAACACACACACAGAGTTTTTTGAGACAGGGTCTCTGAATCCACTTGACCTAGAAGTTACTAGTTAGCACAAATGATTTCCAATTTATAGTAACCGTCAATTTCCTAAATGCCAGGGTTATAGTCATGAGGCACCAGACTCAGCAATATTCCTTCTCTCTCTCTCTCTCTCTCTCTCTCTTTCTCTTTTGGTGTTTTCAAAACACGGTCTCACTGTGTAACCCTGGTTGTTCTGGAATTCACTATGTAGATCAGGTTGACCTTGAAGTCATAGATCTACCTGCCTCTGTCTCCCAAGTGCTGGGATTAAAGGCATTCGCCACTACACCTGGCAATAATCTTAATCTTTAGCCCATGTTATGGATTTGATATTGGTGTGTTTCAAATTTACATAGTGCGGTGGTTTGAATGAGCAATGTTCCCCATAGACTCACATATCCCAACACTGTTCCTGAGCTATTGGCACTGTCTACAAAGGTCATGGATGGGAGCCTTCCTTGGCGAACTGTGGGTGGGCTTTGGGGGTTGACAGCCTCACCCCACTTCCAGTCCTTGCGCTCTGCCTCCTGCCTGTGACTGAAGGTATGCTCTCTCAGCGGCCTTCTCTGGCCTCCTATTGCTGTGCCTCCCCCTCCATTGTGAACTCACCCTCAACTGTAAGCCAAAATAAACCCTTTTTCTGGAAATCACGTTGAGTCATGGTCATCACAACACGTAATGTTGATGCAAAAACACAGCTCTCATCTCAGTGGGGACAAGAGACAAGTTTATTCTGGAGCAAATATGAGTGAACATGGCCTGGGAAGACAGGCATAGTGTCAAATTCCAGGTCCCAGGGCGGAAGCAGTTTACAGTAACAGAACAAAGAACACTTTGCAAACGCATGAGTACTAACATTAGGTAGGTGCTGCAGCAAAGCAGGGCAGTACTGTCTGTAGGCCAGATACCATATACGGACACTCGGCCTTTCAGTCGGGGGAAGCTGCAGCTTTCTAATACCTTCCAGGAGGTTTTTATCCATTATTCACAAGATGTTAGGTCCACACAAAGATGGGAAGGAATGGCTATTTAGGGAGCTAAAGAGAACCCAACATAAATTGCAATTAAGACTCTGGACCTATAATGTTCCAACTGCTTCAGGGCCATTGAAGTTCTAATTGATCAGTCTTGCAGATTTGAAGGTGTACTTTCTTTCTTGGAACTTTTGTTCAGAGTTTCCCTGTTTCACATTCTGTTGATGTGGAGGCCACATACCATTTATTAAATATTATAATATGTCCCTCATAGCTAGGAAGACCCATTCCTCAGATCTGATGTAGACAGGGCTAGGTAGCAGGCAGAACAATGGTTTTAGCCATTATGATCTGATTCTCCTGCCCTTTTCACTCTTCTGCAGCTACAGCTGATGTGATATTTGCATGGAACATATAATTAGAGTTGAAATAATCAAAAAAAGTTTTGAGTGAATGTGAAAGATGAAGGAAACATGCAGGGTGGGAGAGAAAGAGAAAGAGAGAAAGGAAAGAAAAGTTATTCCCCAAAGTCATAAGACTGCTGAATGAAAATCTAATGATGGGGGAAGCTACTTCCCTGTGAGTTATTGGCCAAGGATTCTTCCTAAAGTAGTCCAAACGATAAAAGCCATTGCCACTGCTACTGGTTGCATGCAAGAATTACATCGTAGATCCCTACATAGTATTGATACCATATGTTTTGGTCATAGGACATGAAGAAATTGAACTGCGACTGAACTGGAAACTTTCTCCCTGCTCGCTGGGTTTATAGAGCCAGAGGCATTAGCAGGCTGCAAAGGGAGAACAATTGTCAACGGCCCTCCCTAGCTAGACACACTGCAACTACACAGAACCAACATTTTGTGAAAAATATACCCACGAATACAACCAGGGCACAACTGTTCCAGATGCAACCAGTGTCTGTTCGTCTTGAAGGCCTACTCCATAAAATATCCATATCTGGAACTGAGAGCCAAATGGAAAGCCCATGACTGGAGAGGTCATGGCCTCAGTGGGGATGCAGCTACCACTGCCTTGTTACATCGATGGAATCTGCTTGGTAAACACCTTCTAAACACTTCCAAGACGACTGCTGCTCAGGCATACTTGCTCATCATACTCCTCCATCGGTCACAGATGGAGGGAACTAATCCAGCGTCTACATCAGCCCCCTCCAAGACTCAAGGGAAATGCTGAAGGGAAGGCAGAAAGAACGGAAGAGCTGGATGAAGGGGTGCAGCGTTGTGTAGAAATTTCCTTCTAATTGAAGCATTCCCTCCTGCAAAAAGGACTGAAGGTCCTAAGGCTCAGGAAGTAAACAAAATTTACAAGGTTTAGGAAGTGGAAACTTAGAAGACCCCTAAAGTCCCTCTCTCCAGGGTTGTAGAGACTCACAGCTGCTGGGAAAGGGGACTCTGGAGCTGACACGCTGCCAACGGGCAATGCAGGAAGCTTGAGTGCCACAGCGTTTCTGAGTCATCGCTCAAGCGGGGTGGGTGCTGCAGTGCCGCAGCTGCCACTGAGTCACCTATACTGTTAAGCAATGGTGTGTGCATACTTCCGCAAATAGCCACAACAGACTCACTGGCTCACTAAGCTAGACTAGGTAGGATTGTTTCTCTGGTCTGTTATCAGTGATAGCTAGGTAAATAGGTATTTGTTCCCATCTCTCCAGGAAGCCTCATAACAACTTCCTAGGGAAGTGGTATTTCCCCAATTTAACTCCATAAAGTCTTACATCTAAAGCCAGTCTAGTAAAGGTGTTCAGAAACAGAGCTACTTGCAACCATCTGTCTAATCGTAAGGAAAAACAATGGTGGAGGTTTCAAAATACTGAGGTGTCAAATTAACCATGGAGAAATCACTTGCTAGTAGACTTTCTTGGCTACCAATAGGTATTACTTAATACACAAAAGCTCTCAGATTGCTCCTACAGATCCTCATAAAACAAGGCTACTATAAAGAAAACATTTGGAGAAACTTCTACGGTGTTTTGACCTGGAACAAGTTGTTCTTAGATGGACATCTTCTTTAGACCAAATCAGACAACTGTCAGCAAGAGTCAGCCCAATTCTACCCACAGCAGAATTTGATCTGGAGCTCCGTTTCCAGTCTATGGCAGATGAGAAAGTGAAAGCTGACTTTTGTTGCTGTTTTGAAACAGGTTGTCATTTAGCCCCGGCTGTCCTCACACTCACGATGTACAGAGTCAGGCTCTGAATTCTTGATCCTACAGCTTCTACCTCCTAAGTGCTGAGGTTATATGGATGAGTCACCACACCAGGCTCGAGAGTAGACATTTTAAAGCAGGTATAACAATCTAATGTAACTGTGAAACTTTTTTATGCTTTGCAAATCATCTATATATAAATGTTCAAAAAACAAATAGCCACCAGCATAAAATTGATTATTACACACAGATAGGTTTGAGGTTTGAGTACTGGTTCCTGTCTGTTGTAATAAGGGATTATCCCATCTGATCTTAATAACCTAATGAGGTGGAATCATTCCCATTTTTAAAGGGAAGAGATGTAAGATGGTAATCAAGGTGAAACTCGCTCTGTATATTGGCAGAAATAAGGCTAACTTGGCCCTCCTAATTCTATTAATGGCCTCTGAATCTACAGGAATTGACAGTATCTACAGATAATAATATAAGGCAGAGAATAATGGCTTCCTCAATAATGTCCATGTCTTAGTCTCAGAAACCTTAGAAGAGGCTACCTTAAATGGCAAAGAGACTTCCAAATGTAGTTAAGGATCTTAAAAGGAAATTGTCCTAGTTAGTTTGTGTCAACTTGACTTGTCACAGACAGTGTTGTCTGGGAAGACGGAGCGCCAACTGAGAAACTGCCTTTGTAAGCTAGCCTGTTGGCAAGCCTGTGTGGCATTTTCTTGATTAATGATACCTGGGAGGGCCCAGTCCATGGAGGGCAACGCCACCTCTAAGCATGTGGTCCTGAACTGGAAAAGAAAGGCAGCTGAGCAGGTCACAGGGAGCAAGCCGGTAAGCAGTGCTCCTTCATCTCAGCTTCAGCTCTGCCTCCAGGTTTCTGCCTTGAGTTCCTGCTCAACTTCCTTCCGTGGTGAACTATAAACTGTAATCTGAAATAAGCCCACTGATCCCCAGTGGGTTTTACTGGTCATGGCATTTTATCATGGCAAAACAAAAAGGAAATGAAGACAGGAGTATTTAATACCCGGATAGGTTCAGTGTGATCATTAGGACCTTATAAGGGGAGATGGGAGTGAGGAGGAGGAGATGCTATGACAGAGCAGAGGTGAGAGGGCCGCCACTGGCAGGCACCAGTGCATGAACCAATGGTCTGCAGGAAGCCTATAGCAGGTGGAAAGTCAAGGTAATGGGCCCCTCACCTCCCTCCTGAATCTTTAGTGTTCCAGTCCCTGCTGGGACGGTGACATTAGCCAAGTGAGCTTCTGGTCTCTAGAACCATCAAACTTACCTGAGCTGGTCTGTGACACCTTGTTAATGTGGCAAGAGGAAGGAACCCAGCACATTTTCTAGTGTTTCCAGAAGAATGAAATGAACATGCACACACACATAAATAAAGGATACATATCCATTCTGATAGTATTGTACCAGTTTTGTGACAGTATTAAGTTGTTTTTCTTCTAAGTCATCCTAAAACAAATGGTCTGTTAGTTCTTTTGTGCCATTTAATAGGTTAAGATTTTAAAAATATTATTGTATATAAACACATTGAAATTACTAAGTAATTCTTACATAAAAAGCAAATTATATATGGATACAACATTACATAAAGAAAAGAGAACAAGAAAGGCTGACTATAAGAGGATAAGGAAGAATTGAATTCAGTAATGAACATGAATTATCAAAGAAGAAATAAAGCAAATTGTTTCTCTAGTAATCTGTAATAGAGTTTTTGTTTCGGTGATGGAAAAATGTAAAAAAATACTAAAAAGGGAAACAAGGCTTCATGTGAAGCCTCACAGCTTCTGTCCTGAACACCAATCCTGACCATATGGAAGCTCACTGGATGATACAGACTTTCGATATGGTTAATATGTCTCGACACAGTAATATGTTTCCAAAACTCATGTGTCAACTATAAGCAAGTCCCTGATATGTGCCTCTCTTTCATCTCACACTTACTTATTGTACTTGTGTGTGTGTGTGTACATGCATGTATCCTATGGCACACATGAGGACATCAGTGGACAACATTTGGGGGGTTTTCTCTCCTACCACCATGTGGGTTCTGGGGATTAAAATCAAGTACTCAGTTTTGATAGCAAATGCCTTTACCCAAAGAGCTATCTTGCTTGCTTCTACCCCTTTTCAAATTAAACTGTCCATGAAAAGTTCTTGCACTTTTTTTTTTATTTTCCATTCTAACGTCAAAACCAAAACCAAAACAACTGTAAGGAACTCTCCGTAGTTGTGTTTTATTTTTTAATGCAGATGTATTTGTAACTTAAACTTCACAAAAACCAGCCATAAAAAGATAAATTACTTTTGTAGTTGTTTATTTTCCTTCTCTAAAAAGGTAGAGACTAAAAATGTTAAAACAATAGCTAAATGTTTGTGTTTACTAATCACAGAATGTTACTTTTTTAGGAGGCTATACCTGAGTCAATCTATTTCCTATTTATTAAAAAATGTGCACTCATATTTGAAAATGACTACCGGTAATTCTATAGTGAGTGCTAGGTCTGAGGCACATACCAATAGGTAAGTAGCATTAGGTGAGTGCTGGTGTAAACATGTATGTAAACACATGTACACATACACAGTATACATACAAATGTATACATACACGGTTAGTACATCTTTTCCCAATACATTCTTTTAGTCTTATAAAAGAAAAAGACAAACTATTTTCTTTGTATTCTCATCATTTTTTCTCGGAAAAAATCATATATATATATATATATATACATATATATGTATATATTTATATGTATAAATCTGTTTACATGTCCTAACTCGGATTAGAAATTTTCTCTAGTTCTTTAGTGTCCTTTTGCTACTATGTCTCTTCTCCAGTCCTATTTATCAAGAATTATTAGCACAGGATAGATGGCTCTTTCTCTACCCTTGAGGATAACCCAGAATCGAAAGTCCATTCTCTACTCTTGCAGGTCCTTCTGATCATAGCCAATAGAGTTGGGTTTAACCTTCTTATGAAAACAAATTGGTTCTTATACTAAATTTAAGTTCCTTAACTATAAAGCATATATTGTGGGCAAAGGTTTCAACAAAAGAGGTGGACAACATTTATGTTAGAGGGAATGCCCATTACTGCTCAGGGACATACAAGTTTCTAAGTGATAGAGCAAAGTAACTTCTCCAAGATTACTCACCTTATCATTCTCTTCAAGGAGTTTGATGATACGGTTAAGGTCCATAGGCTTGAAAACACCCTAGAAACACAGAGCAGTTACTACTCCACCCCAAGGGGATAAAGAAATTAAGTCAAGCACACACCACACACATTCCCACACCACACCTATAACCCACACATGTGTTCTCTGGAATTTTCACACAGTACATCTTAATCATACACACACACACACACACACACACACACACACACACACACACATATGCACCCACTCCCTCTCGCCACCTTCCCAATCCTCTTTTACCCATTACATCTTCCTTCTTGTTTCCAGTTCTTTTATTTTTTATAACCCACTGAGTCTAATTAAAGCTACCCATATATACTTGGCTATGAAGTTATTAAATCTGGCATGGGCAGCCTGTGCCCCTCAAAGAAAAGTGACTCTTAGTCCCATCAACTGCCAGTAGCCCCTTGTCCAGGGGTGGGGTCTTGGAGAACCTCACAATTGTTAACTATAATCATTAAACTGTTATATTTACCATTAACAAATAGTTTGGTAAACATAACGTTACCTTTGGGATTTGGAGTTTTAACAATGTCTGTGCCCTGTGGTTACTTTAACTCTCTCTTTTCTTCCTGTGTTTCCAGAATTTATGGATACAGATATAGCTACAGGCAAATAGGGTAGCCTTTTGTGTTACAACTTTTGAAATATTTGCTTTGAGGGTTAGACAAAGGTATTGAAATAAAAACTTGATGCATGATTGTTTTGTATCCAATTTTTCCTTCCCAGATGGAGAGCAGTAAGGATTTCTCTTGTATTTACCTGCACCATCACTTATGTTGCTCTCTACACATTCTGCTCTCCCAGCTTTCCATAAGCTTTAATTGGCAGGCTTTAAGTTTCAGGAATTACTGGCTTACTGTCCTGATCTCAGGTAGCTATCAGCAATAATACAGAAGGCTCTGGATGTCATACAAAAGACTTAGGAAGCCACTGAATATTTTGGGACTGAATATATACATGGACAATGCCCAGACTTAGTCTGTTGACAATTACTTATGTAGTCTAGTTTCTTTGCTGCGCCAGCATGGCAACTGTCATTCTTCTGAGCAAAGGGCATCCGGATTAACACACAACTTCAGGTTCTGCAGACAAGCCTTTATTCCACTTTCTCACACAGTATATATAGCCCTCAGCAGGGGAAGCCAAGGCAGCAAAAGCAGGAAGCTCATCACCATAACTCAATGGCTTAGGGGTAAACATCCTTAGAAACATTGTTGAAAAAAACATGTTGTTTCTGTTTTTGTTCCTGTTTTCAACCAAGTGCAAGAGTGCAAAACAGATCAAGTGGGGGTGTGAAGGCCTGCCCTCTAGGGACCCAACAGAACTCAGGCTCAGCCTGAAAATTCCATAGCAATCCATAAAGGCAAACCATAACTTCTACAGAAGCAGGCTTAGAAAAATCAAAATTTGATCATTGACTTCCAGCTGCTCCACTGTTTACCTCCTGATTTCAACTCGGTATCAATCATAGAAAGGCAAAAAGAAACAGTCAGCAAAAAATACACAATTATGCTTCATACTGCGATTACATCCGACGTCCTCCTGCCTCCAGCCTCCCGCGTGCTCCTCATGGCAACCGTTTCCAATCATCACAACCCACCCTCCGTATCAAGCTTTTGTGTTAGAGTTGCATTCTCCGCGAAAAGTAAGCAATGCTGCATGACTCCTCCCCAACAGCAAGTGTTGACTAAATAGTCTCTGTCTTTTTGGGTGCTCTTCCTTAGGGTTTAGCCAGAAGAATGAGATAACAAAATGATGACCATTTCTGCAGTGTGGTGACCTAACTAGAGGGAACTAAGTCAAGGTAGAAGTGTGTACTTCAGCAATGGATACAGACCACAGAAAATGGACTTAACACACCCAGGAGGCTGAATTTGTGGGATCTAATAAGGGCGGGGAGGGGGGTACGTTGGCTTAAGGAACCATAGGAGACAGACAGTGCTGGGAAAAGAGGTGTGTATTGGGGCTGAGGAGGAGCTCTCACAGGTTTCTAGGGACATCACGCTACTGACTGAGCACCCCATTCCCATCTTGAATATCAGCTGCAGTACGGTGCAAGCATCAGGATATCTGATGAATGATACTGGGGCACAGGATTCTGGATCATGGGCTCAATGTACTAACTGGAGGTTTGGGTTAAATTAGGCAACTAATCACAATCATAACATTGAGTGTCCTCGCTGTGCCAGACATTGTTATAGGAGCTAGTAGTATGGAAAGGAAAGACACAAAATCTGCTTACATAAACAATATGCTATGGAGGGCATTAAGTGTAACATTACAGTAAGAGATAAAGTAGAGATAAATATTCTAACTGTAATTCTTGCTTGATAACTGTTTTGTTATATGTAATTTTACTATGTTAAAGTTAAAGCCTTCCTTTTTGTTTAAAGAGAAAAGGGGAAATGGTGTAGGAGTTCCTTCTGTTTGTGTATTGCTCCCATTGGATAATGAATAAAGAAACTGCCTTGGCCTAGTTGATAGGGTGGAACTTAGGTAGGTGGAGAAGACAGAACTGAATTCTGGGAGAAAGAAAGCAGAGTGAGAGATCTGCCATGGAGCCACCACAATCAGACAGGCTAAATCCTTCCCAGTAAGCCACAACCTTGGGGTGATATACAAATTAATAGAAATGGGTTAAATCAAGATGTGAGAGTTAGTCAATAAGAAGCTAGAGATAATGGGCCAGGCAGTGATTTAATCAATAAAATTTCTGTGTGGTTATTTCGGGTGTAAGCTAGCCAGATGGCCGGGACAAACAAAGAGCCACCCTCCTTGTGCAACAATTAAGTCAATAAGTTATATAGCACAGGGTTTGAGTACAATGTTCTACAGAAAACTAAATGGTTATAAAATACTGGCTTGCTTGAGTAGTCAGTGAAGGACTGACTCACAGAGAGGGCACCATTTCAGCCAAGTCTTAGAGGAGGTGAGAGAGCAAGCTCTGCCTAATGAAGAGATAATGTCCATGAAGTGGGCACAGAAAGGGAAAAAGTCTGGGGGCTGGAACCCTTGGCAAACTTGAAAAGTCAGGAAGTCAGAGTGATTGGACCATGGAAGAGTGTATAAGCTAGGACTTAAGTTTCTACTCTGAACCCAGAGTAAAGGTGCTCAGGAAAAGGCATGATAATATTAAGATATATTTCCTTAATATAAACACAAGGAGAACCCTAAGAGAGGCATACATGGATTCTCCTGGAAAGGGGAAATGGACAGAACTTCTGAGAAAATTGGGAGCATGGGTGGGGGAAAAAGAGAGGGCAGAAGGAGAGGGGGAGGGAAGAAAGAATGGGAAGAGAACATGAGGAAATAGGGTGGTTGAGATAGGGGAAGGACAGAGAAGGAGAGCAAGGAAAGAGATATCTTGACTGAGAGAGCCATATGGAGCTAGCAAGACACCTGGCACTAGGTGAATTCCCAGGAATCCACATGGATGACCCCAGCTAAGATCCTAAGCAACAGTGAAGAGGATACCTGCACTGACCTTCCCCTGTAATCAGATTGATTAATTGTCATCACAGATCCTCATCCAGCAACTGATGGAAGCAGATGCAGAGATTCACAGCTAATGCCGGGTCAAGCTCCCTGAGTCCAGTCAAAGAGAAGGAGGAGCAATAATACGAGCAAAGGGGTCAAGACCATGATGGGGAAACCCACAGAAAGAGCTGACCTGAGCTAGCAGGAGCTCAATGACTCCGGACTGACAACAGGGGAGCCTGAATAGGCCCATAGTAGGCCCACTGAATGTGGGGGACAGTTGTGTGACTGGGACAGTCTGGGGGGCCACTATTTAACATCACCTCCTATGTGCTTAGGCATTGTACTGGGTATTACACCAAAAATGCTGCAGAAGATCCTGCCCTCTCGGAAGTGAAGCAAGCAGTCAAAGAGCTACATGGGGAGAACTGGGACCCAGGCTTCCCAGGCCAGCGCTGAGCTTAGACAGCAGCAGCTCAATGGTTCTGGTGTTTCTGTGGGGCTTGAGGGAGCACCTTAAGGCCACACTGTGATTATAGCTGATTTAACATGTTGTAGGGCCCAGACATGCCCAGTGTTTCCCCAAAGCTCCTCAGAAGACTGTGACGGCCATGTATGTTCCGGGAATACTCACCAAAAACAGGCCGGTTTTATAGAATAGGAAAAAGCTTACAGAAGGTAAGCAATTTTGAGGCAACCTTACTAGTTATGGTAAGCAGCAGTATCCTGAAAGGAACTGAAAGTGTGTCTAGGAAAGGAAGAAGCCTAACAACGTGTGGCACGGCATCTCAGGACAGCACGTTGGGCGGAGAAGAGATGTGAGCCAGCGACAGGCTAAGAGCGCTGACGGTCTGGGCTGAGAGGAAAGGAGAGCCAGCAGGTCTTTCGAAGCGCCACTTGCAGCCTCTTACTTTTTATAACATAACATTATCTGATCTAGTTGTGGGAGGGCTGGAATTGTGCTTCAGTGTTATTGTTTTGCAACTGGCAAGCTTTCCAGGAATTAGTTATGAAACTCCATAGCACAGTTTATACCTTCCTGCTGCTATAGTGCACTGAATTGCTACTCCGAGTGGGAAATGGGTCCTTCTCCTAAGAGCACAAGCATTCCTGGAAATCTGCTAGGAAAGGAGAACACGGAGGTCCAGCCCGGAGCTGCTGACACTGAGTGTGAGAAGCTCCGCTCTAAGGAGATGTGTGGTGCTTCAGAATGAGGGAGGGGAGCTACATGTGAATCAGACAAAGGATAATCAACCAGATACTCGTGATTTCCATTTGAGCAAGGAAAATTGCATCGTTACTCTTATTTCTTTCTCAGAAAACAAGGACTTTATCTTTACTGCCCAATGTCGCTACCTTCCAGGGCCAAGAGACCTGGGACTATTTCTAGAAAAGCCCACACAGCACCAGACCTCATGAAGGTTTACTTACCCTGTAAACATCATCAAAGTTTAACATGAACAATAGTAGAAAGAAAGGAAAGCTGTTGTGGTTAGAGCCATCAACAAAACTACATGGATTCGTATAATACATGTGGTGGACATGGAGCTAAATGCTTCACTAATCTTTCTTAAATAATTGCAGGAGAAAGGCAGTTACAAATCCCTTTCACAGATGAACAACACAAGACATTTTTATATGTTAGTTAGTTTGGTTGCTTTGATTTTTTGTTTTTCTTTTAAAAGTTATTGTATTTTGTGGGGGGAGGCTGCAAGAGCAGACGGTAGATATGAAGGCATGCGGAGATGAATGGGATCAGGATGCATGATGTGAAACCCACAAAGAATCAATAAAAAGGAAAAGAAAAGTAACTTCACCAAACGAAATAAATAATTAAAACTGATCACTAAATTCTAGTGGGTTTTCTTGTTTTAAAATCTGAAAAAAAAATAGTTTTCTTAAAGCTTTAAGAACTGTTCTTGTAGACAAAGCCAAAATTCCTACAAAGAAAAGGTTCACTTAGAATGCTCAAGTAGAATGTCTATGAAAATCACAACAATAAAAACATCACACAACTAAAATTCCGGATTCTGAAACCACTATTTTCCCTGTTTACAACTGCCTTCGAACTTACACTCTACATTTCCCAGAATTCCATGCTAAGGTGAGGAAGATGACTGTGGTTTGGAGAGGATGGACAACTACTCCTGCCTCCTGCAAAGGCTGTTTCTATGCTGACTAATGTCGCTCGCTGTAGACGACAAGGATGCACTTCCAAGTGCACAGAACAGCGTTGGAGAGAGGGTTTAAAGTGTGTAGGCACTTGCTTCCAACTCTGATAACATGAGTTCAATACCTGGGACCCACCCAGGCGCGAGAGAGCTAACTCCTGCAAGCCGTCCTCTCACCTCACACAGGTGCTGCAGCATGCATACCAGCTCCAATGCCCCTAAACACACACACACACACACACACACACACACACACACACACACACCACACACACCACACACACCACAAGTACATAAAAACATGTGCAAAATAACCTGCATATTTGATCTGTTCCTAGGTAACTCTATTCAAAAGCCAACTTCATATATATGTGTGTGTGTGTGTGTGTGTGTGTGTGTGTGTGTTAGGGTGATTCAAATGCTTCAGATTTTGATTTATAATAAGACAGCCCTTAAAAGAACAGGTTCATAAAACAGCATCTTTATAGCAGGAAATCTTTGGCTGCTACTTATTTCAGAGACTCCATGAGTTTTAATGACAGAGGATACTGTAAGCTTTTGTTGCCCCCCTGAAGAAAGAACGGCGGGCGGTGATAACTGCATATTTTCAGCACAGGGACAGTCTATATGTTTTCTGTGTGCATTATTTCAGCTGTACTAGATTTTACAATCAACACTTGAAAAAGTTTTTTCACATCTACGTATTTATTTTGTACGGGGAGGCAGGTGTGGAGGCCAGAGAACCAGCTGAGGAGTCCGTTCTCTCCTCCCACCATGGGGGTCCTGGCGTGTGGAAGCCAGGCTCTCTGGTGCCCATACTCACTGAGCAGTCTCCAGGACTTACACTAGGCTTAATACAATGGACGTCAGTACTATCGTGATCTCCACTATCACCACCACTTCCCTTTGACTTCACAGCTCCATAAACTATGGTGTGCCTGTCTCCTGAGGACAAGCCAAAGTGGACTGTTTTGAAAAAACTGGGAATATTAAGTGTCAAAAGGTCTTTCTCTGCTGAATTGAGCAGAGGGCTCAAGGTTATCACTAAGTATTACTAGGAACACCAGGCCTCACAGTGAGCAAAGACCCCGAGAGCCAGGTCAGGAGTGGTGGCGCATGCTTTAATCCCAGCACTCCAAAGACAGGCAGGCAGAGCTCTGTGAGTTTGAGACCAGCCTGGTCTACAAAGTAGGTTCCAGGACAGCCAGGGCTACAGAGAGAAACCGAGTGTCGAAAAACCAAAAGAAGAAGGAAGAGGAAGAAGGAAGAAGAAGAAAAAGAAGTTGTAAAACAACTACAAAAAAAAATCCAAGAGTAGACCACAGATTTCTAATGCTAAATTGTTTTCCATTACATTTATTTAAGTAGAAATTCCTTCCCCACCCCTTGCAGTACTTTCTAAAAATGTGAAGGAAAGACAAATACACAAGACACACAGAGCTATGTTGCTTCCTGTGTTACAGACTTTTTCTTTTGCAGTGATCCATTGAAAGTATTTCTCTCTGTAAACCCCTGTTCATCTGTCTCATGTAATTAATCTTTGCCCAAAGAAATCAATGAGAGTCAAACTCACCTACTTAGGGCCCAGTGCCTAGGAATAAAGTGGCAATGTTGAGCTTCCCTGTAGTCCAGGGAGTGGAGAGACCCGTGGTCACTTACACTTCTTCGCTTTTGTACAGGAATACCTCCACAAAACTGATGAGGTAAATTCCCCTGGCATTCTCTCTTTATGTAAAAGTGCTGTACTCTGTGGGCTGTTGCATAAATGCGTGAATGCCTCCAGAGACCTCAACCCAATTCCCACAGAAGTCCCCAGCCAACTGGCTGCTCCCAAGTAACTCTCCAAGGGTCCAGGACATGAACGCAGGAGACAGAGTTCCTGACGTAGCTTGAGACTTGTGAAGCCCCAACAGGAATTCCCATAGAGCGCCCCCCCCAACACCATTAGTGTGGGATAAGGCAGAGAGGTCCCTCAACCCAACTCTAAAAATTTAACTTTGCGTTTATAACAAAAGCAAACCCCAAACTAAATATAAACAAAATAAAGAAAAGCTCTCTAACAGCATCTGCCTACCAGTGAATACAAGCTTCAGCAACAGTATATTTATACCAAGGACATGCCCCTTTAAAACGGATCTACAGTCAAAACCCCATCACAAAAAAAAAGTGATCTCTTTATCAAATAAAATGCCACCAAGAACGATTCCTTCCTTTCGTAGCCACAATCCAAAGAGCAGCTAGTCTCTCCAGGAGGACCACGCAGCTAGAGTCCCCAGACAGATTGGCTGACGACATCCAGCCCCCCTCGCCAGCCGCCCGGCCCCCAGGGACGAACACCGCTCCTCTCCATCCCGCAGGCTCGCTCTGGTTCTGGATTCCACCCGGTTGCCCCGGAGCCTCACACCCTTCTCCGCTCCTGCTGCCGAGCCCGACGGTACCTGCATATCCTCATGCGGGGTCACCACCCCAATCAGCGGGATCGTGCGGGGACTGCTGGACTTCGTCCTGCCGCCCGCCTCGGCGGCGTCGGCCGTGGCCGAGGCCTCCACGGTGGACATGGCTGGGGATGGGAGCCTGCGGTCCTAGGTGTGCCACGAGCTCTGCCAGAGGTCATGCAGCGCCACCGGAGCTAGGGAGGCGACAGACCCGGAAAGTTGGCCGTGGGCCCCGCCTCAGCAAGGCAGCGGACAGCGGACACCTAGCTGCTGCCGCTGCCCACACGCGGACCAGGGCGCCTAGCGCCCCAGTTGTTAAGACAAGCCCGAGCGTTGCTAGGGGCGGGGCCTACGGAAGCCGGGAGAGACAAACTTTGTCAACGGTGGTCTGCAGGTGTGTAAGGCCAGACTGAGGAGACCAGCGAGTGAGATCGCTCGCGGTCTGCTCCAAGAGTTTTAGTGGCGGCGATGGCCCTTGCTTGATAAGTGCCTATGTGGGGCGGACGAGTAAAAGCTGGATATGGGATGCGGTCCGAGGCTTGTGATTGGCACATTGTTGAAAGCCGGCCTCTTAAGCTTTCTCCAAAGATCAACAAGCCAATTTAGCCTAAATTCCCAGGTTTTTACTTCTTTTGTACTTTAGTGGCCGAACTTGATAGTTAGACAAGCAAGTGAGGCATCATACAGTGTTGGAAAGCTTTCAAGCAGTAGAGTGGTTGTCTAGGATGCTGGAACCCCTCGTGTTGGATGTCTAGTATGGACTGGGGTGGGAACTTCAAATTTTGCAAAGAGAAAAACACTAAATTCTTCGCTGGATGGGTTCTCCGATCTGACAAATAAACAGTTTAACTTTTTTTTTTTTTTTTTTTTTTTTTTTTTTTTGCCTGCGGTGGTTTTTATTCATTCGCAGGTTGAGAAGCAACGGGAATGAAAGTTCTATGCTTCATTCTCAAACACCTTGGGATCGCTGGCTAGAGTACAAACTACACATGCCACCATCTTCAGATGGCTAACTCACCACGAATATGGGCTTACACAATCTTTGCGAGGAAACCTTTATTTCTTCTGTTGTGTTAGATGCCACATTGAGCGGATTTTTTTTGGGGGGGGGGGCGTTGCTCACTGCATGGTTAGAGTTATTTACTGAGGAAGCGACCAAGTCATGTTATGTTACCGAGACTCTAAAATCAAGCGCAATTATCTTCTTGAGATTTGTGCCCAACCACTCCTGCCTGTGGAATGCTGAGTGTCCTCAGCCCGCGAAACGCTGGTAATGTGGGCATGGTGTGATGAACACTTTGTCTGGCTTGCGTTTGCATTTATAGCTTGTTCACAGGTGTTGCTGACGCGTCTGGTCTAAAGGAGAACATTTTGGGTCCTCCTAGTCAAAATCATACTAGGTCCACAATAAATATTCATTAAATTTTCAAGGATTACAAATTACTTTTAGATTTTGATTTGAGGTAAATTTAAAGCAGTTTGTCAACTATCCAAAGTAAACATTCTAGATCCTTGTCCCTTGAGATTTCCTAACGGTGAAGGCCATTCATAGAAGCTTGTCAAAAATGCAGAATGTTGAACTACTGGTATAAATACTGATCAGAATTTCCATTTTAACAAGTATACAGAATTAAAAGAATTCCCATTTAAACATTTTAACATGTATACAAAAAAGAAAACTGAGACACTCATGGTGTGTGTGTGTGTGTGTGTGTGTGTGTGCTTTCATCATTTTGGGGGGGTAGTTTTATCAGTCTTAGACATCTCAAAAAGAGTGGGTTAGGAACTGGTTTGTACTATTCTATTTGTCTTTGTGACAATATTTGTTTTACTTTCCTTCCTAGAAGCACACCCAGATTTAAGTTTTTAAGGGCTTCAACTGTTTAAGTGTGCAGGTTTAATTTTAATTATTATCCACTTTTTGTTTTTTGTTTTTCTTTGTTCCTTTTTTTGTTGTTGTTTTGTTTTGTTTTTCTAGACAGGGTCTCTCTGTACCTTTGGAGTCTGTCCTGGAACTCACTCTGTAGAACAGGTTGACCTCAGACTCAGAGAGATCCACCTGTTTTTGCCTCCCGAGTGCTAGGATTAAAGGAGTGTGCCTCCACTGCCTGGCTGTTCCTTATTTATATAATGCAGACACAAATGGATAAAAGGACTATTGAGATGTCCAATTACTTCAACAAAAGATAAATAGTAGAAAATATGAGAAATAAGTTCCTCCTTGAGAATAGAAATGTTTCGATATGTTGACAGTCCTGCAGATTTTGAACATCATGAAGATATGAATTATTTTCTTAGAACAAAGTTTTAATACATAAATCTATATACAATTTGTACATTTACAAGTAATGAAGAAAGTTAAGTATATACTTAAAAAACAAATATCATATTAATGTAGTTCTTCTGATTTTGTCTGCACCCTGCCCAAATTAGCAAGTTAGCAAAACTGCAATTATCCATCATGAATTAAGAACATTTTGTAAGTACTTTAAAATACATAATGAATTTAATTCTCTCTAAACCAATGCTTCATGCTCTAAATGTTCAAAGAAACATTATTGCTTACAGAGATGGAGTAGTTTGTTTCAAATAAAAAAATTTTATAGCTCATAAATATTAAATATTATTAATACAGTGGGTTAGCTTTGGGGGAAGTTTATAACAGAAAAAAATACACATCAATTTGGAAATTAATTTACTTCTGGGGTTTAAATAGTCTTTCAGATTGACTTACTGTTGCAAGACTAAAAAGTAATCTCTCTTTAACAGACCATTCGTACACATTTAGGCATAAGTAGTGGAGCAGGAAGGACTAGTGGAACAGCCCCCCCCCCTCCATGAAGTTAGTTACAAATGAAAACTGCATCAACAGTAATCCAGATTGTAAGTAGAAGTTGGGGAACTCTTCATGTGTACTGGAAAAATGAAGTAAGTGATCAACTCTTTAGGTTTTTTTTTTTTTTTGGATACAGGGGTACTACTATGAAATGAAATGATTCCTGAGTGATGTAGGATTCCCCTCTGTATGCTATGAAAATGTTTCATTATTATTGGTTAATAAAGAAGCTATTTTGGCCTATAGCAGGGCAGAATATAGCAAAGCAGAAAATCCAAACAGAGATAGAGTAGGAAAGAAGGTGGAGTCAGGCAGACACCATGTAGCTGCCCAAGAAGCAAGAGGTAACAAACCACAAGTCTCGTGATAAAATATAAAATAATAGAAATTTAAGATGTAAGAGCTAGCTAGAAATATGCCTGAGCCATCGGCCAAACAGTGTTGTAATTAATATAATTTTTATGTGATTATTCAGGTCTGGGCAGCCGGGAAATGAAAGAACAGTCTCCCCTTACACCTGAGCACTTGGAAGGATCAACTATGTATTGGGTTTACACGGTACAGGTCTTTATTGTAAAGTAGGATTCACCAAACACATCTATTCCAATGACATTAGTTACTCAAGTTGTATCATCATTTCACTTGTTTTGATTCCATGGTCCTTGTATTTGTTATCGAAGTCCGCAATAACAAATGCCATGGATCAGGTAGCTATAAAAGAGAGATTTTCATACAGTTCTGGAGGCTGAAAGATTAAGACCAAGGTTTGTGCAGAATTTTCTTCTTGACTTGTTCTTTTCCTCCCTTTCCTTCACATGGCTTTCCCCCGTCCATACCCATATTCTAGTTTCAACAGGATGCCAGTCATGCTGGATTAAGACCCACCCATTTGACCTCACCCTAATTAGCTCTTCCAAGACCAGTCTCCAAAATCAGTCATGTTCTGAGATAGTAGGGGTTAGAACTTCAGTGTACAAATTTTGGAAGATACAATTCAGTCCATAATAAATCCCATCATCTTTTAAGTTAAAATCTGAGTTCTTATGAACAGACTAAGGAATACACTATATCTAGTTAAACCCATATTGTCACCTGTAGAACACTGATATTTTTCAGGGTGTCAGATATTAAATTGCTATGCTAATGTAATATCCACTACTATACATTTGATTCCTACGAATCTGTCATCAGATCTCTCAGCTCAACACATCTGGACTGCGAGCTTGAATGGCTTTATGCTTAAAACTCCAAAAATCATTTATTTCATACTTCATTTCCACTCGTGTTCCTCTGTCTCCTGAGATTTCCATAAACACTCAGCAGTCATCACTTTATGTGGAACAGAGAAAGGGCAGAAGAGAGGCTCCTAAACTTGCTGTGGCTTTTGAACATGTATAGTTAATTGCTTAGTTTTATAGGGTATTACCATGAAGATCTGCCGAATCGTACTTTGGAACATTCCATCTGAAGGAAATGAATGGATAATATATCCACTAGCTCAATTTTATGCTGCATCTCCTTGTTCAAAGTTTACCCTTCATTTGGGTTGACACATTAAAAAAGGGCCATGTAATACTTGTAACCATACTTAAAATACTAACAGTAAAATGTTATTTGTCTGCAATTCAAATTGAACTGAGAATCTTATTCTAGGAATCCTGTCAGGATATGCACTCAAGCATCTTCAAGCAAAGCAGAGCCACAGATGTCGGTTCCCCCTGTATGGAGCTGCTCAACATGAAGCAGTATGGCAGCAGTGATGGCAGCACCCTAGCAACTCCTTCCTGGGAGGACAGGGCCGCTCTGGGCCACTGGCCAGGGGGCAAGCCAAGAGGAGAGGCAGCAATAGGGATAGATGTGAGGCCCGGCAGGAAGTTACAGAAGAGATGAACAGTAGAATTTTCTATAAAAATGAGTCATGTGTCTTTAAATATCTGCTATAGCACAAACTGTATTAGACACTGGAGACTTAGCAACAGCTAATACTATATCCCCAGATTGCAGAATAGCTTAAATCTTGTAGGTATCCTGATCTAAAAATGTTCAATGAAATGAAATAATCTTCACTACATAGAGGTTTTTCTAAATGACTACTTGTGTAAATACAGTCCCCTACCCAAGCAAAACTAACAGTTGGATTGCTTTTTGGGGTCTTTTTAAAAACAAAGACCAATAGCTGGTACTGCCTCCCTCATCTGTGTTGTGGTGTAGGAAGGAGAAAAAGATGTCCTCTCCCTCCACACTACCACCTTCAGAACTGACCCTTTTCCAGCTAAAAGAGTTGGGGAAGCAGGCCCCGCACCTCACCTGAGCAGCATAATGTAGCCGACCCTGTTGATGAGGGCTCAAGTGAGCCATCCCTGAGAACATGAGCAGGAGTGACTTAGTGCTCCCCCATCAACACCTGAGGCAGGTGGGAGAGCTGGCCCTGAGGGCATAAGAGCAGGAGAGCTGGCTCTGCCCCTGGCAGCT